TTCCGTACGATGCCAGGCCAAGTGTTGGACACCCAGGAGAGGAAAATAGACATTTCTCCTTTTTCAGAACCGCTGCTTAAAACGGAGAAATGGTGGAAAATGAGCGAAATCCTTTCCGTCAAAATAATAAATCAATGATTAATATAGTATTTAATTTTGAGGAAAACGAATCTTAGCTCCTCTACTTTCCGTTACATTAGCAAGGAATGAATCACATCAATTTGCACGGAAAACTGCGGATTAATTTCCATTCCCTTTCACAAGTGCCTTTTTGTTCACGGGATTGACATTCTACGTTTCTTTCTCATTGCACCGCGTTTCGACACGGAAATTTAATGATTATACGTTCAAATTTCTTTCAAGTACTCAATTTACGACGTTCGTAGCACGTGAGTCTAAACTCACCATGCAGTAATCAACATGTAACATCTTCCGTCCCATAACTTGACCGGAAACGGAATTTAAACGCAAGCTTGATTTAAAAACATAATCGCTGAAAAACTTCACGAGCGAAAGCAAAAGCAAAAAAAAAATATTTCATGCAAAAGCGGAAGAAAATATTCCATGCAGAATTAACAGTCAGCCCTGTAAAAAATGTTTATGAAATAAAATGAAAGTACCGGACAAAACAGAACAAAAACGAGGGAGAATGTGGGGGCGGGGGCGAGAAACTTCATAAAACGTGCATGGTTTTAAGCCCTGTATTAATTAGTGTGTTTAATAGTTCGCTTGGGCGTAAGAGTTGTGCGAGCACCGACTTTTCTAAATGGACTCAGTAACTTTCGCAGGTCTCTATGCTATAGTCACGGGTCTGGAAGGAAGAACAGGAATACGAGAAAAATTCATCGAATGAGGTTATCCGTGCATTTGTTTAAATCGTGTTAATATCCACATCGTGTTCTAACGTCCACCTTGCAACACAACTTCGGTTGGCTATAAAAATTCTCTCAGGATAAATTTTCACGTCGGTTTCAGCCACAGCAAAAAAGAGTGATTTTTGAACGTGCATTCAAGACAAAAACAAGTACTTCTCCAGAAAGTTCTCCTGAGTTCTAATTTTTCATACAATTCGTCAAAATCAACCCCCATCGCAATGTTCAGCTCATATCATGGAATATCGGCGGCGTCGGAGTGATGAAAAATACTTCACAAGTCACCCGAGCTCCAGGAACAAAAATACATAAACGTTTCTGTTCTACACACTTCACAACAACTACCAAAACTACTCAATGTACAGTGCACCATTAGACGATACTCGAATTAAAACCCCCAAACTACCATCGAATCGCTTCACCTGGAATATTATGCGCAGATTACTTCTAGCGAAGAAAACAAAATCGAACACAAACACAAATAAAGAAATATCAAACCTGGTATTTTCATGCCGGTTTCATCGCCAGCCAATGATCCAGGAGTACCGCTACCATCAGCGATCAGCGGCGGAGTTCCCGCAGCTTTAATGGAGACCATAAAATAGATTGAAAATGTCGTCTTTGAACACAGAGAAATACACACGCGCACCTCAGCAAAATTTCAGAAAATGAACTCTTTCAAAAAAATGAATAAATTTCCGAAAAATTTTCAAGTAGGTTAATGGCATTTTTCAGGCAGAAGAACAGTGCACAATAACACGCATTTGGTTTCCACATACATACGAACATATTTTGTATGTCGCCGTCGATTCAAAAAGGCGATTTTATTAATTAAACACGATTATGATAATGGATATACGATACATTCAGATTTATTTTAAGCTATATACGGGGTCTGTGCCAGTCAATAGCTCATCTAGAGCCACGCTGGAGAAATTCAGAACGTTACTTTTTCCTGAATTTTCGATAACCTTAAAATTTCGAAAGTGGTGATAAATTTTAAGACAAATTCAGAAGTAATCATTGAAGCTCCTCCGACTCAATAATCTTGTTTCATCAAATTACTAATACCTGTCAATTGACAGTAATTTTAACTTTCCCTCACTTGACAAAAAAATGTTGAGGCTTTGCTTAATTACCTTCGCAATTTTGAATTGAGAAGTTTGAACTGATCGGAAGCGATCACTACGGAAGTAAATCCAAGTGTCATCGAATAAACACTAAGATGATTTCTGAGAGAAACAGAATTAAATTCGAGCATATGCGGCTTTGCGGTGCACCGGAATCCTCCCGGTAGTCTTTGATAAGATCAGTCGAAATATGTTCCCCATACAGTTGAAGAGTCTGACTTCCAACACACTAATTCCTTCGCGAGCGGAAAATCAAGCACTGCATAAAAGTGGGTTCGACATTCAGAAAAGCTTCAGATTTAACTGAGATATTAGAACTGCACCACAAATTCATGTACAAATTGTGAACACGACGAATAGTTTACACACTCGAATCAAATTCATGAACCGCACTTATTTCTAGACTTCCTGCCTCTATTCTAGGAGCATATTCGCTCAGCGAACAGGCAAAAATTATTTCGCACACACTACGAACATTCAAGATTATGAATCAAGGAGTATACGAACCAATATCAATTCCAGTAAGCCCAGCAGCAGCACCAGAGAGTCTTCGAAGTTGCTGCTGCAGCCGTCGGAAAGACGGAGGTACTAACTCTGGTGTTAGTTTGACGGGAAGCTGTTCTCCGCGTTTAACCATGTCCGTCAAATGCATAGCAAGAATGAACTCCTCGCAAGATAAGCGTCCATCACCGTCAATATCAGCCAAAGACCTTCTCATTGTCAGGAGAACATTAAGCATCAAGCGAACTGTTCTATGAACTGGTGAAAAATTGCAGTCACTCACCAGATTTTAGCCAAAGTTGTTTGATTCAAACCAGTTTGAACCAATAGTTGTCGGGCTTGCATTCCTGTCATGAACCCAGTCTTACTTTTGTCAGCCTGGTTGAAAATTTGGGTGTACTTGAGTTTGGTGGGCTGAGGAACAGGCCAATCAACTACAGGAGAACTGTACGAAAAACATTCGGTTACACAACTTACACTCAAAAAAGCAAGAACCCAACGAAGTTTCGAAATTTGACACTCACGAATCTTGACTGGATACACTTGTCTTTCGACTTAGTGTTTGCGGAAGAGAATTGGGAACGCCAGCGGGCACTGTTTAAAATTAAATCAGGAATCACAACATATCTCTCATTCCGAAAAGAGCAATGATATCTCACCAATAGGAGGGGACATTACGGAGGGTCCAGCAGAAATAGGAACAGAAGCTGATGTTGGAATGGAAGTCGTGAGAGGAACTTGAGGCAGAACCGGGTATAATGCCGGTTGTTGCATGATCAACGGGGTCGGTTGAGTAGCGAAACCAGCCTTGGCTGTGACTGGTGATGTGAGACTAGGTGCTTTATGAAGTGCAGCAGGAGCTGCAGCAGGAGCTGCAGCAGTTGGAGAGGCAACTGCAGCGAGAAGCGCTGGTGGCAGAACTTTCGGCAATTCCTGGCCCTTCAGTCTCATCGTGATCAATTTACAGGCAACGCTGAACTCATTGAAACTCAAGCTACCATCCTTGTCAGCGTCAGCTAAGCCCCTGCGAATATAAACAAACAGTCAACACACAGCAAATACGACCTAATTGTTCAACTTACCAAATTTGCGCCAACACTGCTGGTGGAAGCTGAGATTGCATAAGAAATCCTTTCGCTTGGCCACCGCTGACTAGACCATTCACTGGATTGAGGCTTTTAAAATGCTCCATGTGCTTCACCCTTTCGGGCGCAGTTAAAACCCAGGGATCCATTTTCTCAATTAAGCGATTAGAAAAGGCTTGAAGAATTCAACGCAGTAATGTCGTGTTCGGCTTTTCATCACACTAAAAGGCCGAGGCACCCACGCGCTCCAACAAGGAGCAACACCGGCGCGAAAACATTCTGGAACAAGAAACTTTCAATAATTTGTTCTACGAATAAAAGAATATATTAACACTAGACGAGCGGCTTCACATTCAAGTCCAGCAAAGAACCCTCGAACACATCACACATTTTGTAGTTGCTGCTTACACAGCGACAAGAGACAATGCACTGCATCTAGTTGGAAACTGGACCGTGACCACGCTCCTCGCAATTCACAATTTCTGGGAGAAACTTCCGTGACATCCCCACTCCGCTTCTCTTCACTGACTGTCCTACTTTTATATAACCTGGTCACCAAGGTGAGCACTGGTTATCGTAGCTTTCTTAGTGGGAGAATTGGACAAGCAAAGGAGCCGAGTTCCACCAGAATGAGATCATCATGTGACTAATTTTTACCACCCGTCCATCCTAGAAACGCTTTTGTGAAATAAAAATGATCAAGGAACTTCAAGAATTCGTGCGGGAGCTAGGAATTAGAATTCTGAAGTCTTTTGATGCCTAATTCAGCTTTCACTCAAATGCAGTTTTTGAGATACAGTACTGCATTTTAAATTACGTATACACAGGTGGACTCTTATAAAATGATCATATCTGCAAGGACTTTCTCTAAAAAAATTATTTTATTTTATGCCTCAGGGTTTTTTATACCGAGTTCTCTACAGAAAAATTTTCTAGGCCCTCCGAATTCATTTTGGAGAGAGTCATCTTGCATTCTTCTTTCTTTGGTAAGATTTCCAAAGTCACACTTACTTGATTACAGATCACCAAGAGGATTACAATAGTTAAATATGATACAGAAATGAACAAGAACTACCAAGCCTATCTATAATGATACTTTAGTCTTCTATTTTGAGTTGATAGACAAATATGGGTTTTTGGCACTTCAGAGTAACTTTTACATTGAAACACAAGGCACTTCACTAACTTTCGTGTTGAAAGACATACTGCAGTTAATACTGTAAATGTTTCAGATATGGCTGTCCAATACCTTATAGACTGCAGCAGAATTCAGCTTTGAACAGAATAAAACATTTGAAAAAATTATCCGGGCATTGAAGCTGATTTTTCTTCCCCCTCCGGTTGTTCAGGGTGACCTTGATCCACTTGACACTTTGAAAACTCATTTTCATGGACAGAAACCTCTGTTCTGAAACATGAAGACGATCAACCAAAACCCAAAATAGACGGGGATCGATGGCATGAACTGTATCAAAACAGATTTTCTACAACAATGCTCTGACATACAAATGTGCGACTTTATTATCACACAAGGAATCCAGCGAAAGAAAAACCAAGACGAGGCTTCCAGCAGACAACGCATAAAAATTTCAGCAAGCACGGTCAGTATTCACGCTTCGGAATACAAAAACAACCCTCGCACAGGGTAGCAGCCATTGTGAAAGGGCAACTACTCAGATACACAAGAGTCTCCTTAAAAGTTCCAAAAAGCAAGCTCCAAAAATGTTCCATCCTTTGACACGTTCTGATCGAATTTCTTCAACAATCTGCTTGTTCCGATGTTGAAGGAAAACTTCCCATATTTCTCCTCATACTAAGGAACAACAGGAATTGAAGCGAAAGCAATGTAAGCAGTCAAGTCAACGGCTCCCCAACTAACCGGTGGAAAACTTTTGAGGAGACTTTTGTATAGTTCGGCGAAATCAGCACAAAGAAGTCTCGTTTTTCGCTGCTTATTCCTTCTGGCAACAACTCCAACAAAACACCCGAACTTCGGAAAAAAAATCGTTGGTGTTTTCACGGAAGTTCGCTCCATGGCATAAAAAAAAGAAAAGAAACGGCAGAAAGAAAACATTCCGCCCATTCCAAGCACTCAAACTTTTCGAACGAGTAAAAGCAACAGAATCCAGAAAAGTTTCCCCCCTATAATAAAACACGAAAGAATAGCGTGTTTTACATTATCGCTCGACAGTTAAACTCACGGAACTGCAGCGACATCTTTCTCACGGAACTCAAGAAACGCCACATGTTGGGACAAAATGGACACCGACTCAACCAACCTCCAGAGGAAACAATTTTTCACATTCAGAACGCCTCGAGCAAGTAAATGCAGACCTTTTCCACTTAAAGATACCCCACAAAAGTCTATTAGTCCCTTAGAAATTTCCACCCCAAGATTCGAGAACATTTATCACACAGTCAACATTCACAGACCATTTTTCCAGATGGGCATTAAAAACAAGCAACGGATTTCGCATCAACAGGAATGTTTAAGCTTACGCAAGAAAACAAAAACAAAAAAGGGGAAACAAATTAGGCGGGTTGAATGGTTCACATACAAGTGTGGCGGTAAAAGCGACAAGACGAAACGATACCCGTAAAAAAACTCCTGAGAAAAACTAACAAAAAAGCCCACGAAATTCAACGAAGAGCCAGAAGGCTTCAAACACCCGTGACCCGCATAAAAATAAAGTAAAAAACTGCGGGATTTCAACTCTAAAAGAGATTCTTCGTGCTTTTCTCTTTCTTTTCTTTTCCAGTTGAAGAAAGTTTTCGGCAGCGTAACAGTGGCGAAATTGAGCACAGATTTTTTTTTCTCACGTCTCAGCAACCCGAGTTCAAGAATTTTTAAGTTCATGGCATGATTTCTGAGAGAAATTTCTAGCTTTCGGCAAACTAAATACTGTATTCCTCTTCTCTCCAGGAGTTTTAAAAAGTGTTCCAAATTTTTGCTCAAGAAAAGAAGCCACTGATAAATCTTTTCAAGAATACTATCGCGACTGGGAGGTTCAGACCGATTCAAACTGATCGGAACGATTTCTCGGAAGTCCCGCGAATCACCTCTAAAGTCATTTCAATCAGATGAAACATATATATTTATATATATTTTATATTAGACTATAAATTTTTTTTTTAGAAAATAACTCTTGATCTACGGGGAAAATGCCATCCCATTTATCCGTGAACCCGTCTAGTTCACCAAATGGCTTCCCAAAAAAAAAAAATCAAGATTGCACACATCCTGGGCGATCAGAAAATCCAAAAATTCCCCGAAATATTAAAAAATTACTCGGCCACAAAGCTGCAAATCTTCAAAATCTCCTTACGGTATAGAAACATGTCGAATGGACATTATTGTGTTTGTGATTTCTCCGAAATAAAGATGCCAAGGCGTGGAAATTACTGTTTGAGAGCTGGTGGCCATCAATGCACCCCTAGGGCAATTGAGACAAAATCTTGAGAAAACTACAAGGCCATCGGGCATTTTAAAGTCCTCACCAAAAAATGGAAGTACAGTACCTGCATGAAAATTTCAAACATTTCCCGGAGTTATCAATAGGTTCCTCAGTCAATTTCCGACAGCATTTCATTTTCTTCATCAGCTCGTAATTGATTAAAATGTTTCTTGGAAATTAGAAAAAAATTAATTGCTGAAAATTGTCTACCCGGTTTTCATCTGTCTACTTTGACGATACGTTGGCGACTCGCAGGACTGTTGAGAAGCTCATTGAAACAGCCATCCTGCCAATTAAAAAAAGGAAAAAACGCCAAAATGCGGCAACTGAAGCAAAAGACCGCAAACATCGCACAGTAACACCGAACACTCTTTATCGTTGAAAAAAAAATTCAACAAGGACCTTTCAGGACGTTAACGTTCAACTTAGCTCATCATTCCTTCCAGTAACTGCACCACCTCTGCCACACAATCCGGCAGGAAATAAATCTAGCTTGTACAAACGTTCAAAAACAAACAAAAATTTCTTCCATCAGGAATACTGTTCGGGACGCTCACCCAAATCGCCGATAAAGAAATTTTCACCGGGAAAAAAAATTTAAATCGGGCTAATCGTCTGAGCAGTTCCTTGTAGAAAGCACCATTGGGGACCTTTTTTGTTTCTCGACAAAAATACGAGTCTACCACCGCATGGAAGATTTCGTTCTCCGCGCAAAATGGAGCAATATTCAGGCGATTATTCTTCCCGTGACGCCAGGAATTTCGATAATGAAATATCAACTTCGGGGGAATCGTTTAACATGAGATGCACTCATCAAACGCTTTGGCCAGGAAAGTGAAAATCTAGAATTATTAATCTTCATAACTTTGAGCAAGTATACCTTTGGTGAAATGAGAAAATTAACGAGTCCGCGGAATTCGCAAACGGAGGGAAAATACTGGTGTGAGCTAAAAAGTTATAAGAACCCGTGTTCCAAGAGCTTCAATAAAAAATAAATAAAAAAACGGGAACGCACGTCGGCAGCGAAAGGATCACGAGAGAACACATGCACTTGGTCTTTCTTCTTCTTCATGTTTTTTGAATTTTTGTACACGGAGGAAACGAAATTACCGGTTGGTTGACGGAGGTAGCCCGGGGCAGCAAAATCACACGGAAGTTCGCGCACGCGACGATGCCCGAAGTTAACCCAACAACCGGGGTGCCAATCTCTACCCCTAAACCGGTCGAGGAATTCCGACTTGTTCCAGCAAGTGACCTGGTGGAATGAGAGAAAAAAGGAATTACACACGTTGTATCGAGCCAATACATAATATTTCAAAACAGCTAGTAAAACTCGGCGAAAACGAAGTCGCTTTGGCACACTCAAACTTTGCCTAATATAAACCGCAGACATTTTTCAGGAGTGAGAATAGGTCGTAAAACGAAGCAATCAACAAGAACGACGAAACATTGCATCCGTCGCATTTCCTACGCACATAGTGTATTCAACTTCAAGAATATCACTTCGCTAGCTAGAAACGAACATTGCAGAAAAAAAATGCAACGAAAAATCACATTCCTCGTGATGTTTGATGCGAAATGAACAATTTTCCGCCACAAACAACTTTCTTCGTAATCAATCATTTTTACGGCTTCCCGCATTCCACGCTTGCAAATTTTTTTTTCGGCCAATAGAGCGAAATGAAATACTGTACACATGAGAAGTATTGGAAGGGAAGGGGGTTATTAATGATTAGGCGAGCTGAACTTCTGAAATTCATTAAATTCTTCGCCTTTTCTACGAATGGGAACATAATTTTATAGTCGAGAAGGAATACGAATTTATAGAGCGGTTCAAACATTAAATGTAAAGCCATGAAAGATGATTACGCAGATGAACATTAGAACCTGATAACTTGAAAAATTTAGAGTTGCTCAGAAATGATTCTGCAAACGACAAATAAAATTTGCCAAAATCCTTTCATCCCAGAGGAAAGACGAATTTAGCTCGAAGTAATTGAATCCATTTGAGAATGGATTCAAAAAAGGAAAACGTTTACCGGAAAAGGCAAAAAAACCTTACTAAGCTCAATCAAATCAAAACTTACGTTTTGATTTTGCAAAACGTGAACGTTGCATTAGGGGATCAAAACTTACGAAGTAAAAAAATTACAGTAAAAATACACAAATTCAAAAGTGTATTCCACTATTCCTAAAGGAACAAACATTTTTTGAAGAAAACGGGTAGAAACTTTGTTACCCAACGAAACTGATAATTTTCGTTTGCTTTACCCATAACCAACATTACAAGTCATTTTCCTACACAAAGAAACAGCATTTCATTTCAAGAAAAGCCAAAAAAAGTTATTTTATAAACGAAATGATATTCCGGATAATCGCGCCAACGGCAACAAAAAACTGCATCATTCAGTACCGATCTAGAAAAATACCCTTAATTTAAGAATGAAATGAAATCCAGACGAAGAAAATACTAATTACAGAGCAATATATATATATACAGTATATATATATATATATATATATATATATATATAAATATCAATTTATTTATTTTTTTTTCCAAGATAGAGGGAAACCTTACTAAGCCAAGCAGCGCTTCAATCATTCTTCCTTCTCGCTTCCATACGACGAAGGAGACGGAACGACGTATTGGTTGGTGAGGGAAGTATATTCCGGCAAGCGCACTGGATAGGCGAGGGTGGTGTTCAAGGTCTGGTTCCTGTCTTGCAGCATATTACGAGCGTAATGCAGCACGAAGTCACGGAGCGTCGGGAACAGATCGAGATTCTCATCGAACCCGTACCCTTGCGCGTACTTCATCAACTTACAATGGTTCACTTTATGATCGCATCTGCATAAAAAAATAATTCACATCGGTTAAATGGCATTTGAACTGCGCCTCGAACGAGGAAAACATAAACGGAATTAATTTAAGATTGCATATGAAAACACCAGTTGCGTCCACTCCGACTCCATCAAACGAACGATCAATAAATTTTGAAATGCTGAAGGACGCGGGTGAGTCCCAAGGTTCATCAATATTTTGTACTTCATTTCTGGAATTGTTTGTAATACAGAGGATGTGATGAAAAAAATTGAGTCTTTGCTAACAGTAATGATCTTCAAGAAAATACAGCGTAATTTTCAATGCTTCAAATTTTGTAGAAACACAAACAGAATTTGCAGCGAATTGCTGCAAAATATTGCTTTAAAAAATTACTTCAAGCAGCAAAAAATTCAGAGTAAGATTTTCTCGATACTTCAACAAGATTCCAACTGAAACTACGCAGCAGAAGGAGCTTGAAAATATGTGGGCTTTGCTGCAAATGTAATTTTGATGGTACCTGTATCCAATTCTTGTAGACGAAAGAATAGAATTCACCGCATTTTTCCTAGCGGATAAGATTTTATAGAAAAACCAAAAACACAACACAAGCAGTGGGCTTTGCTGCAAATGTAATTTTGATGGTACCTGTATCCAATTCTTGTAGACGAAAGAATAGAATTCACCGCATTTTTCCTAGCGGATAAGATTTTATAGAAAAACCAAAAACACAACACAAGCCAGGGCCGGCCTAAGGCGGGTGCAGCGGGTTCACTGCACACGGGCGCCTTGCTAGGGGGGGCGCAAAAACCAGGGCTGACCCCAGCAGTGGCAAGAAGGGTTTGTCGCCTGTATGGTGAGGTGCCAAGTGGGCTTTGCTGCAAATGTAATTTTGATGGTACCTGTATCCAATTCTTGTAGACGAAAGAATAGAATTCACCGCATTTTTCCTAGCGGATAAGATTTTATAGAAAAACCAAAAACACAACACAAGCGATTCCATTTGATGATTTACAATATGAATCATTCCACGATTAACTGTGCTAATGCTTTTACAAGCTTCGTGTTCAGGAATTTTCGAGACTTACATAACTGAAAGAGCCAGAGTGCCCTTCTGGCTCGAATTCCTAATTAGAAACGTGCCATCTGGCTTTTCCCTCAACATGCTCTGTGCCTCTTCACGAAAGCTTCGTGTTCAGGAATTTTCGAGACTTACATAACTGAAAGAGCCAGAGTGCCCTTCTGGCTCGAATTCCTAATTAGAAACGTGCCATCTGGCTTTTCCCTCAACATGCTCTGTGCCTCTTCACGGGAAACACCAGGGAGATACCACGTTGTTTCATCCTCATGCGGCAACGCAGGCGGAAAGACGAGTGGTTTGTACACACGCCGAGACCTGAAATAATCAATTAATTAAGGATTACAACGGATTAAAATGGTCCATACTTCTATAATCCGCGCCTCGCATAATGGTTTTCTTTCCTACAAAGGACTCGAACTGTCACAGATTCTTGCTTCGGATAACAGACAGCAGGAAAGCGATTTTCCTTCAATAAAATCAAATTTGCTGTAGAAATACACAATCTGTCAAGTCGATAAAAGCTTCTCTAATATTGTATTCGTGATTGCGGTAAACATTGTCTTTCTAGTTTACGAGTGATTTTGCTACTTTATATTAAAACATGTAACGTTTCTATTGATCCATTCAAGAATGCACGCAGGAAATTCACACGGAATCTTTGAAGAATCAGCCGTTCCATTTAATTTCACAAAAATCGATTGTGTAACGTTTTACGTGATCTGAAACACATCATTCATTCTTTGCATTGATTGCTCACTTATCCATCTTTCCTAATATTAATGGACTTTCCTCTGGATGGGATTAAGTTTACTTATAAAAGTAACATTGAAAAAAAAAAGTGCAAATAACCTGGGATTCGTGCTCATCGGACTCGTCGCCCCCGAGCCAGTGCCATTGACAGGAGTTTCGTAGCCACCCGGCATATTTAAAACTTTCGATTTGAAATGATCTCGCCAACCATTTTTGACACTCAGCAGGGCTTGAGCTGATGCGTCCAACGAGTTCATGTGTAGACCGTCCGTTATTTTGACGAAATCCTCGGCAGAGACACCAAGCGATATCAATCGCCTGCAAGAAAACAATGAATAATTCCGTCAATCATTTTTTTAACCTGATAACCACGCCCCTTTCTTACACAGAATACTCGAAGAAAACTACAGTCAAGAAAAAATTATATATATTGTAAAGTTGAGTGCTGACCTCGACGTTGCTTTGCAACGACCTTCGCTACTAGCGCTGGAAGTCGAGCAAGTAGAGACGAAGCTTTGCAGCCCTGAGAAACATAAAGGGAAGTTCTAGCTCCTTCAACTTCTTCAGGCTGACATTGTAATTCTTTAACCTTTCTTTGATTAAATCCTGGTTGTCCGAAAGCCTGAAATTAATCGACAAGGTCAACACAGTTGAACCTCGATAGCTCAAAATTACTCAAGTCAAGACCCTTTCTGAATTTCCTCAGAAACAAAGCATTAAAATACTCCTGAACTCACAGGCGTTCCCACTCAGACCTTCATAACTCGAATTTTCAGGTGGCCTTTCGGCTATTTCATTGACACATCAAGGGAAAAGCAATACATATTGACGAGTTCTGAAAGAAAGTAAAAGACTAGTTGATCTCATGAACCCTTGCCTTCAACTTCAGCATCCTGTCGACTCATTTAAGAAGCAATTTAAGGCTCATATCACTGATTACTAAGAAAAGATGTTTCTTTCCTTAACTCGACATTTTTTGCTTTTCCCTTTCAGTTTAACTTACAAGAGGTATGACATTGCATTACAAACGTAGACTCTCTCTACAACGATTTCGTCCGAACCAATTTTCTACGCATAACAAATTCTTATGCTCCCGTAGCGGTTTTCTACCATTTCCATAGGGGTTTTCGACGACGATTATTTACCGGTCCTTGAATGCCGTTGTTCAGAATTTTTTTTTTTTTTCACAACCATGAGAATACAGGTATATTCTATATACATTTGTATTACTTCTGCGTCTGAACCTGATTTCTATAGGCAGGTCTCATTTGAATCAACAAATAACTCGACTTGGACCAACAAAATCCAGAGTGAATTGAAGCGGCATCTAGTATACGAGCAGAAAATTAAATATCACGACTTAAGGGTTAGTGTTCAATTGAGAAATGACTACAATAGCAACTACACATCGAAGACAAAGATTGAATAATGCGTTACTCCTCATAATTTCAAAAAAATAAAGATTTCAGCAAAAAGATAACTGCTAAATTACGTTTTCAGATCCTGGGGAGCGGCATTCTCAAGAGCTTTCTCAGCGACGGAAAGGTGATCCTGATAAATCTGAAGGCACTGACAGCAACATTCTATGGCCTGTTTATGCGTCGTCACTTCTTCCAAGACTTTCTGATGTTTCAAATACACGTCATCATATTCTTTGCACTTCTTCGAGCGTTCCACGCAAATATCCAAGAATCTTTGCTTCAAATCGTCCACATTCATGCTGGGATCCTCATCAGTACCCTGTGAAAAATATTAAAAATGCATCAATAATGAGCTTCCTTGAAAATTTCAATTTCAAACGCATTGTAGTTTACAATGCTGCGGATTAGACGTTTATGTCAGTTATCAGGAACTTTGGAGCAAAAAGAAGGCTATATACAGTATGCGTCATATACTTCGGAATCCGGGTCGTGGATTTTTCCGTGGAATTTGACGACGTGCATGAAACTGCACTTGAAGTTCGCACTGAACGCGACAATTTTGGCACAAACGCAAGAAGTGGTAAACCTCCATTTCTTTCTTTCCAAGATTCCTAATACGTAGTATACAGTATTAAAAAATTCAAAGCACATTGAGAAATTTGCTTGTAAATGACTCATGACAAGCATGCGAACTGTTCCATTTTCTCATTAGAACATAATTGTCAAGGAATAAATGAATATGGTGTAAAGAGAAACCAGAGACATTCATAACGGATTTTTTGAAACACAAAAAGCTGCAACGTTAGAAAGAAAATATGTTTCCTACTTAAACAGACGAAGATCGACCTTCGGCTTGCAATGGTCACGTTCCAGCGAATTTATTACCGAACTGAAATTTTTCTGCAGGAGAAACTATTCAATTAAAAGTTGTAAAACTGTACTTCAGTTCGTTTCAAGGCACACGCTGGTCATTTAATTGCCAACTGGTCACTAATTTCTTGCACTGTGAACCTGGGCAACCCAAAATTTGAATAACTCTTACACTGCACTATTTACAAACTTTTTAGATTCTTTCTGGAAAACACTTCCGACTTCCGGCGCAATCGTATACTCTACAGTATTACTTTGCTTAACTTGGTGGAAATTAAATAGCTAGACTTCCGAGTACGGTACAGTAATAATCTTACCGGAAAATTCCCGGTTCATTGCAGGTTATATATCATACTTTTCCAGCATCCTGGTCGATAAAAAAAAGAAGCAATGGAAGATTATCTCGATTGACCGGGAAGGAAGCCGGGATGCTGCTGGTGATCACAGCAGTGCTATTACAGGGATTCTTCCCATGTGGTTCGGTATTTTTGCCTTCACATTGGAAAGACCTAGTCTGTCTAATTGCTTGAAGCCCAATACATCCGTTTTCTTGTCTGAAATCCCTGTCTGGTTTCTTGTATGAGACTCGCTCTGACTTCAAGAACAGTTTTTCATTTTCCGCAATAAAAAATAGGATCAGTTTTTTTTTTATTCAAGAACAGGATACACTTTCTTTAAAAAAAAACTATCATCAACTTAAAATACTTAAAATGTCTAAAATAGCAAGGATGTTTCCTCCAAAAATTCCAAGCCGACTTTTCAAAGTTTTATTTCATCGTAAAAACTGTTTTACAAAAACTGAGCTTACTGAGAAGCCGAATCTATTCGAATCCCGCAGTTTTCCCGCTTTCACGGGATACATTTTGCGAAACAACTTTTCTGCGGACATAGGATAAGATTCGTACGCACTGAATTAAAATTTTAGCAAATCTCAATATGAACTCAAATAAGTAAAATACTAAAATGATCCTCAGGTACTTTAGAGGTCCCCAAATTATAATCTCGAGTACCCCAAGAACTTCACTCCGAAGTACTTCGAAGGAAACCGTGTAACACATACTGTATCTCCAAGTCATCCGCTGACTGTCTATCTCTCCTCAATCGGAACATGTCACAGATATCACTTAATCGCCCAGTCACAGCATCAGGACCCTCAAAAAATGTATAAATCAACTTAAATACAAACTGGAAAGGCATCTCAGCGCTCAGGTGGTTTCCAAATCCAAAAACTTGCGCACCAGAATAATCAAATTTAAAGTTTTCCACACGAAACAATGTAATACATATCTCCAAGTCCTCCGCCCATTCCGGACCCCTCTTTCTTTATCTATCTCTCTCTCGCTTGTATCGGAAAATCGACCACGTCAAGACCAGCATCAAGAACATCATACAATTTATAAAATAACTATTACACCAAGTGTTATGGTATTACTGTGAAGTGCTCTGGAGGCCTCCAATTGTACACCACAAGAATTAAATTTTCAAGTACTGTACTTCATCATAAACACTGTAATACGCATCTCCAAGTCCTCAGCCATTTAAAACCAGATATTGCTTACGAGCCAAATCACAGTGAACATGCCATATTTACTCGAGTATCACACGCACCTTTATTTTTTTATTTTTTATTAAGAAGAAAAAGGGTTCGTGTCAAAAGCAGGTATAACATTTTTTCACAAATACTGTACATAAAGCTTTGGTGCACCTCATATTTGATTCTAACAATAAATTTTCAACCAATTTCCACAGGAAAAATGAAAAAGTGAAAGAAAAACGATTGAAAATTAACGTTCAACTTGACTAAAAATTCTTCGGATCGTCAAAATTAAAAATGATGTTATTTTTCAATTTTGATTCTCTAAAAATCGAGTGCACGACTCTCTTTCTCTCTTTAGAATCGTGTACCAGATACAGCATCACTTAAAATCCATTTTCGCAGCATCAATCAAGAACGACATAAAAATCATCAAAACGCAGAACAGTAACTGAAAAAGAAAAAAAAAGATTCAACCGGAATACCAACCTCAGCGACCTTTGCCCGACGTGATACGGCGTTCATGAGCTTAATATCCAGCGCTCTGTTGTACTGAGCCAAAGTCGTGTTTTGGTAGAAGCCGATCAACTCCACGACGCTTCGAAACTGGTACGGTTCCGAGAAGCCATAGTTGCCGTTCCGACAGCCGATGCGGATCAACTTGTTCGCGGCCCCGTGCCTCAGCGTCAAAGTGTACTCGCCGCGTTTATCAGATGCGTCTCGCACCAGGAAGCTTCCCTCTGGCGCGTCTTTCATGATATCCGTCACGGTTTCTCTGCGCAAAATCGAAACAACAAAAAAAGAATGATGATGATACATTGTCCAATTAGTGGAAGCAATTCGAAGCCCCTTTTTGGAATACAAAGAGGAAAACGCGAGAGTAAACGGCGCACAAATTCGTAACGCTTAATTGGATATCGCGCCGAGGGTTCGACAAAAGTTCCACGTCATTCTATGCTCCATGTACCACTCGCAATTTTTCTCTCAAAATTAGAAGAATATCCTCCTCGTGGGGGGAGGGATGAATTTTTCAAAAACTTCATAAACTTAGGTGAGCGTCACAGAGTAAGTACTTGATTCTAATGGGAAAGTTTGAACCACAGTTTGCGAGAAATATTTTATTTTATCAAAACAAGTTAAAATGCTTTGGATTCCGGTTGAATTCATGTCCAAATTCAAATTCTGGGGTCTCTTACTTTCAAATGGTGCAGTTTTTCTTACCCTAAAAATGGGGTGCGCAGGTTATTCCAGGTTAGGAATTTCATCGAAATTGTAGGCTAAAAAAATCTGGGCACGTGTCTCACTCAAATAAATGCGGTATTCTCAAGGGCTGCGACTGAGGGAACTGGACCTCGAAAAATGCCCCTGCATCAAAAAAATTGCGATATTTACTCCAAAATAACACGGATTTTATCATATTTTCCAACAGATTCCTTATGCGGATTTTTCGTCGAATGGGTGCTCCGTTACGCGGGGAGTCACTGCATTCAACGGAACCAAGGTTGCATGAAAAATGTAACCACGAACTTTTGGTTGAGCCCCTCGGACGTTCGTCAGAAGAGAGAAAACTGTAACCGACTGCCCGAGTCAAAATGAGATCAAATCGTCATCAACGTCATTATTCCACGCCAGTACCAACACTGGTACAGTATATTCAAAAGGCATAGCGAGCAGCATAATCTACGGCCAGTATTCACCTAACAAAAGCAATAGTTTCCTGAATTTTACATCCAAAATTTGAAGGGACGAACATTTAAATACTTATCAACATTCAAAGTTAACTCTGTACCAGATGGGAGGAAACTTCAACGTCATTCGCTCGTGGAAATGAGTCTGCGTCGCAAAACGCGCGACTGGATCTTCAAATGTGCTGACGCATTACATATTGAACCAGACGGCTTTTACAAAATATTCACGAACCTAGCGACCTTGTAATACTATCTAGCAATTTTTTTTATATAGTCTTAAAACAAAGTGGGTCACAGAATAACGGGAAACCCATCAATACACGACTTCCTGATGCACCACTTTAGCACAAAATTCCTACGCCTCTCGTCCAATTTTGACACACAAAAATCGGTTTGCGTCTCAGATTCCCTTGAAAAGGTCTGGTTCACAAAATGCAGTTTTTATACTGCACTAGATTGAAGCAACCACTTCAGAAATCTTTACTAATAAAGTTACTTATCTCTGTTCCTAAGTTCGTACGCACGTTTTTTTAATTTCCCCTGCCCCGCCTCCAAGAGACCAGTGTTCCCTCACAAGTGAAGTTCTGAGTTTGTCTTCAAAAATCGTTTTAAAATTTTGTTATGGGCCAAACTTCAATTTTTTTACACCATTGGATGCGCGCTGAAGTTTTCTAAATTTTTGTGTTTTTTTCATGAAAAAATATGCCAAATTGAGTAAATTATAGTTGAAAATGTGAAACATTTTTCGAAATTTTCAAGTGCTGCCTCCTTTCCCGCCAAAACGCACAGGCGCGCGGCGCCCCCTCCCAGACTCCCCCAAGTCCCGCCCCCTAACTCTCCCTCCCGGGAGAGTCAGTCTTTCCTTTGCTGTTCAGGAGACCAGGCCAGAAGAGTGAAAATGTGGAAAAAGAAAAAAACCTTCAGCTAAACTTCCCTGGGTCTCTGGTGCCATCGGTAACCGTTTTCCTGAGCCAGTCAGAACTGGCTTTCTCATTGAATTGCGCAGCAGCAAAACACTGGCATGGTTGTCACATACTTTCTCTTCATGTTTTAGAGGGAACTGGGAAATTAGTTAATCAAAGCCATGGCAACCCTGGCATGGATGCTGGGAGGGAGTCTGCTCTGGGATCCCTGGGTCTGTCACTGTCAGGCAAAGTGTACAATTGAGTTGTTCTCTTGCTGAGCAAAACTTTTTCATATTTTCCCCCAATTTCAATAAAATGTTTTCACTTTCCTGAGCATAATTTTGTCAATTTTCAAGATTTAAAAAATAGAAAGATGTAAAATGTGGGAAATTCCACAGCACTTGCACTGAAATTGAAAATAATTTCATTTGGTATATTTCATCATCCTAAATATATTTTGAAATGTGAAAAGGGGAAAATGGATCTGCCTGCACATGCCACTCTATAGGGGCCTATGCAAGGTAGATGGGGGACATGCAATAAGGGAATGCAGCATGATCTGGTATTCCCAGCCATTTGGAACATTGCAATACTGTAATGGCATGGCATTCACTGAGACAACTCACAATAAATTGAACTGGTGAGGACAGTTGCTGTCAAGATTTCATCATGTGATAATGTCTTGGACAATGCCATCCCAAAATGGTTTGATTTTTTGAAGACCCGTTCGTCAACAAACCTTGTTAACACTTTTTGACAAAACGTAAGGGTCACGTAGGACACAATCCACTCAAAGTAATAACCTCATGGGTAAAATTAGGAGGTTTTACGGGATTTATTTCACCAATTCTTCCTTGCAATTCTCTCATGTATTCTCTGATGGGCAAAAATGCACCAAGGGAATTATGTCCTAATATTCAGGAAAAAATTATCATTCATAAATTAAATGTGAGTCATGAAGAGTATTGAAAAATTGAAAGGTCAATGTGAGCTGAATTATACAAACAGGGCATTTTTACAAAATGGTTTTCCTTTTTTAAATGCCTTAAAAGTGGATGCTTCTCAATAATCCTGTAAAATCTGTGAAATTTCTTCAAGTAATGAATGCAGTTTATTGGCATAAACAGAAAATGGGAATTTTGAAAAATGGGAGTTCTATAAAAAAATTAAATATCATTCAAAAAACATTCCATGAAATAAAGCATTAACCTTTTGAAAATGTCAAAACACATATAGTCCTGTAACAAACTGAAAAATCGGTTGATTGACAAATATTTCAATTAGTTGGAGAGAAAAAATTGAAATTTCCAAAAATGTTTTAGTTCTGCATTTAGAAAATTAAATTTTTCTGTTGAAGAAAAACAAAAATTTCTGGCAAGATGTGGACCTAAGATTTGTGAGACCTGGGACAGATATTTGCAGTTTTTGGACCCTTAAAAAAAGCACCCCTCTGCAAATTATCAATTAGCCTCCTATGCAAAAAAATCATGATGTTCTGTTGTGACTCACCCTAAGGCTACCGCTGTTTGCCAGACTTCTGAGCATTCAAAACCATGCTCAAAAATTGAAAATTGGTTAAGAAGAAAAGGCTTGATATGAAGAAGACTTTGAAAATTATTTTGTAATTTTCTCTCTATATTTCGCCAAGCATCAGCCTTTTCAAATCAGCAAATATGGACAAATAAAAAAATTGTGTAGTTCTTAAATTTCAAAAATTTGCACATTGGCTGAGCTAAAATCAGAAAGTGAAAACTGTACAGAAATGGGGAAATGCAGGGGAAACAAGTTCAGAAGTATAAGAAAATGATCTAGGGTATAACAAAAATAAAAACTCCCTTGCTCCTGTACCAGTTGTGACCTGATGGCTCACAACTGCTACATTGAACCAAAGTGCAAAATTAGATGAATTGTCAACATAAAGCCAGCAGTAAGCATGGAAATCTTAAAACTCTTTCCAGAATTTTGACCATGATGCATAGGTGTGGCTGTGCACCCCCTTTTTCAAATATATTGTAACCTGATTCATAGAAAAAATTTAAAATATTTGTAAAATTCCAAACATGATGCCCAGGTGTGGCTGGGCACCCCCAGCTTGTCTACTATTATAAAGTTGCTTGCCGTCATCGGTTCGCACTTTTTTTAATTTTCCCTGCCCCCCCCCCCCTGCAAGAACCGGTTTTTCCCCATCTCCTGCTCTTTTCTCCATGCATACTTCCTTTCACCAGCCCNCCGGTTTTTCCCCATCTCCTGCTCTTTTCTCCATGCATACTTCCTTTCACCAGCCCTCCCTTCCTTCCTGAGCCTTACCTCCCTCCCACAGAGCCCCAGAGAGGCCTGCAGGAGGGTCCCATTTCTCGGCGTCTTACCTTTCAAAATTCTGTAAAAATTGAATTTTGAAGCAAATTTGATTTTGAAAACAGCATAAGCAGCGCCATGATGTTTTCTACATTTCCTTTTTTCCAAGTTTGAAAAAGCTAAAAAATTCACAAAGTTACAGTGAAAAGCGCAAAACATTTTTCAAAAACGGGGATAAATTGGGAAAAAAATACTTCTACATTTTTAATTTTAGCTTTTCAAGTTTTTACATTTGTTCAATCAAAAAAATATTTAAATTTGTACAACATCCATGCACATATTCCCCTAAAATATGATTTACATTCCACAAATAAAAAAAAGTTATCATGAGCTAAACTGAAAAAAATGGACAGTTTTAAAAATTCTGTTTCCCATTTTGCCAACTTTAAAAATTTGTCAAAACATGAATTCTGGGTCAAAATTATTTTTCAAAACTTTATAAAAAGCACCATGATGTTAGCCATATTTTCCTTTTTCAAATTTTGAAAAAGCTTCAATATTCACAAAGTTACAGTGAAAAATGCAAAATGTTTTTCAAAAACAGTTGTGGCCCACCGGGCCACAACTGGCGCATTGAGCACAATTACAAAATTACCGGTGGTCCTTTTTAGTATCATTCACTTTTTTGAACTTAATGCACAGAGATGTGACTGGGATGCTCTCTTCCATGTGTGATCTGATCAAAATTTTAACATATAATAAAATCTGACCAATGCCCAGGTGTGGCTGGGCACCCCCAGCTTGTAAACTAATAAAGGAGACGTGCCAGTAAAAACTTGTTTCCGTGAGTTCAGGTCGATACCTCGAAAAATCACGCCACACCGATGTACTGTATAATGACCTTGTTTCGAAGAAGTCGCAGGAAAAAACTCCGGGTCGCGGGCTGCATTCTTCACGACATGTATGCCACGATGAGTTCGAACTCATTTAGGACCGAGGGAAAGGAATGAATGATACCATGGGGTACACGTCACGGAACCGCGTAATGACAAATACCTGAACCCCGAATGTTCAGTATAACGAGCTCAGTTCATCAAGCAGTTCAATGACTCAGTTTGAAGCACAACGCAAACGAGTTCATCGCCAAGAAACGAGCGCAGGAAATGAAATTGTAAAAATATATATATATATTTTTTAATTAGGATATACGATGCACATTGACACTCATCTATTATTGGTTCAGAATCAATATTCGAAAAGAAAACGAAGGCATTCTCCGGTCGAGATAACCAAACGGTATCAATTTCCTCATCTTCCAGATAACAAAACATCGCTTTCTTAGCCCCAACAAGAAATCTTATGACTAGACTTCGGGGTCTATGTATTACCTCAACAGCACAGAACACGTGGCAAACTGAGAAACATTTCGAATTTTCCGTCAAGTAGAAAAAAATCTTGCGCATTCAAAAATTCAAGCAGGAAAAGAGTGTAGAACAACGAAAATCCAACCCGAAGTACTTCACGTTAGTTCTTTTAAAGCTAACCACCACAATCTTATTAGATATTCACAGGAGAAAATCTTCGAACAACGATTGATATCGAACGAACAGACCTTTAAAGAGCAAATCTCAAGAGATTAAATCTTCCACGAGAACGCATCGAAACAGCAAGGGACTGACAGAATACGATCATAGAAAGAATTGAATATCCTTACATACACTATGATGCAACCAACAGAAGAATGATAAACCTTTCTCTATCGATGTCCGCTTTTGTGTGATGCAGTAACTAGAAAATTTAGCAATTTAGCCTATCTCCATAAAAAAAAACCTCATAATTATCGTAGGAGTTGCTCCTGATTCTCTCATTGAATAAACTTCATTCGATTGATTTTCGCCAGTCGTGTACCTTTTCCCCATCACAAATATCGATCGCTTACCGACTGATGTCGCCCCAGTACCAGTCGCATTCGTTCAACTTTTGTCGAGCTTCGTTTTCCGCAATATTCAGCACAACCGGCCGAGGAGAATCCGGAACGACGGCATAAATCGGGGTTGGCGTCGACGGGGGTCCCGGTCCCGGGGTCGATCGCCAAGTTGATGGACGCCGCGGGGGAATAGCGGGAGGAGTGGTGTACTCCGGCGTCCGACTCATTTTGTGCTTTCAACAATAGAAGCTTTTTCCAAACAACTACAAACAAACAAAAAATACCCAGAAATCTCATGAATTCGACAATGAATTACTATCAACAGCTGGTAATTACACTATTTCGAACATCTTTGCGACGATGTCCTCGACCTGATAACCATGTTCCAACAAAAGAAAATAATGCAATCAAAAAGACTCTCTACAACAAATTTTTTCTCGGGTCCATTGAAATCCGCTGTAGAGAGAAAGTCCATCTGGATAGTGAATTAATGATCAAGGCGAATTTTCACATTACAGATACTGAATATGATGCACGTCTAAAAAAGTTAATTGACAAGCCAAAAATGTTCCGGGGGCCGAAATTTACAAAAATCTCAGTGCATGAACAGACGCTTCCTTCACATCGGCGTCTCGTAGTTCGGAAGATCCTGAATTTAGAACTTCGGTTCGCTCAGAACTTCATCTATTAAAAAACTAATGCATATTCTGTACTTTCTTTAATTTAGATTTTATAAAGGGTACGAAGAGCTGCCGATGCATAAATGGATGCTGGGCCAAGATATAAAAAATGCGACGCAATACAATGATAGCATTGCAACAGGATAAAATTATTGCAATGAGAGTCCAAAACAATCCCTCTCAAAAAAAGAATCGTGAATGTAGCGTTTGAAAGTGAAAATTATAAACGATCTTTTGACTCCCAGATGAGACCTCAAATACGCGATTCTTAAAATTACAGCATCAGCTACGACACGAGGGAAACGCAATTCACATTCCTCTTGAAAAGACACAAAAATGCGGTCATACTCACCTAAGAAATATCGTCCGATCCAAATATAAAAAACCAAAAACTATCACTCAGCGCCGCCTGTTCCGCAACTCGCCCGAAACACACATTCAAAGCACTATCAACTGAAGAGGCGAAGCGTAGGCCACGGCCACGCCGAAGGTAATCGTTACATCACCTAAATAAAAAAAAAAACCCTGCCATTATCCAAGGCGAAAAACCCACCAGACAGAAACGAAGTTAAAGGCTCGACTGGATTTCTCTGTGTTCGACATATCGCTGCATTCCAATCATTCATGACTTGAAGGAAAGTAACTCTTTCCTTACAAACATTGACGCATCATAGGTTCCAATCAAATAACGCGCATACATGATTAATCGAATATAGTTTACGGGATTTAAAAAAAAAAAAACCATACGCAATGCAATTCCCATTGAGATCACATAAATAAACTAAAAAACGGCTCCCCTACAATTCATCTTCTCTCTCAAGAAAATCGTCGTTCCGCTCGTAACTCGATGCACCTCTGCCACGCTACAAATCATTTTTTCCGTCCTGCAACGTAGAATAAATATTTATACACAAAGTATTTTCAATCATTAGATGAGGAAAAAGCATACCCATTCCTTGCGCATAACCAATATAGTGGTGTTCTCCAACACCGGCCCGTAAAGAGGATTCATTTGATGCATATAGCAACACAACCAACTAAATGAAGACACACACATATCAACTTACCACGGCATGACTTCAAGCATAATTTATTTTATACTCACAACAGCCAACAACAAGCTCCTGATAAAATCAGGACCGTTTGAAGAATTCTGCAGAAAAATCCATGCAAATAATACACACATTACCTTTAGGAATTTTTTTTTTTTTATCTTACCCACGATTTGGGCCTTTCGGCACGACAAACGGTAGAACAATGCCGAAGACGGCCCAAAGACCGGTCATTAGGATAATTGGAATTGGTGACGCTCCCATTTCGAATTAATGATAAAATTTGAACGCACACGAACGCTTCAAGCAAATGAGATGGAGAAGCACGGCTGCGGAAAAAAAGGTACGACGTGAAATATTGTCGTTGACGGTATGCAGCTTCTCAGAACGAGTGTAAGTGACCGCTTAACATTCAAAAACCATTTCGATTATCAACCATTTCGATCTAATCAAATCCCAGGGAACTATGCCAAAGCATCGGAAACTCGGATAAACACTCTTTACACAATACAGTAGTTGATCAACAAGGTACAGTACAAGTAACAAACAAGAGATTTTCCCGGCCCTCGCACGTTGCCGATTTAAACAGCCGCTACTTATACTCATACGCTATGCGGCTGAACAATCCGTCGGCCATGCCACGAGCGGAACTGAGACAGAGTGCACGTTTGAACTTGAAGTCCTGACACGACAGAGATGTACACTACAGTACTGTACATATACATGCAGTTCTGTCCTGTATGTGAGCTCCATAAAATAAAGCATTAATCTCCGGATCAGTTCAGTAGTTCTTATTGTTGTAAGCAAGTTTCAAGAAGAACCACGGGAAAATAGGTTTGACTTACCCGCATCGAACCTAATAGATGGAGTGCTCATGCCATTGGCTAGGTGACGCCAAAGGAATTTCCCCTAAGTCCAAGGTACTGTACTCTAGTTAAGGGTGAGCTATTCACATGTGGGAGAGATTTCGCGGTTGTTTACTGCGCAGTCCATATGTACGGTACAATACCGTATTCCGAATTGTTTCCGAGATGTACACTTCCGCGGTCGTCCCTTCCTCCAGCGTACATTTGCGCGATGATTTTAAAATATACTGTAATAAGTTCATAATTATTCTGAAGGGATATTCACTTTCGCGAATGCGCATTTGCACTTAATTTTCAAAGCATAAGATCTTAAGAAGAACATGCACCGCAAAATATTCTGCGTACAGTAAACAATCTCTCGCGGAGTAATAAAAAAGAAAAATTGTTATACGGTACTGTAGGGCTGTTCCATAAATAATCAAGATATACAGTACGCTCAGACACTTCAAAAGACACGAATACACAGCAGGTGTGATTTTAGAGATACTTTACGGAAGTACGGTAAAATATTTATTGTGTGCTCATTACATTTTTTCCAGCTGAAAATGTCCCCAGCATTCTCTATTTTTTTTTAATTTTCCAAGGAAATACAGTTCGAGTACCGTAATCTATTATTCTACTGTACAGGCGCGTTGTCCGCAGGAACCGGGATACTTGAAGAAACCAGGACGCCGATCGGGTGCGCCTAGTTGTGGCGACACGGAGAATCACAACGTTCCGTGGTGAATTCGCGTTTGGCCTATTGTACTTTTTGATTGTGTCCCTCAATCAACATTCTCTTGCTGTGTTGAATTGCTAATCGGCACTTGTACGAGTGCCCAAAAATAACGCGCGAATTTTCGTAGATGATTTTTATCCTCATGACAATATTGCTTAACGAATCGTATTCATCTGAACACTTCTTTCGGGTGTTTTTTAGAGTACAGTACATCGAGATGAAGTTCCTCCAACAAATAGCGGAGAGGACTTGTCCGCGAGTGAATTCTCAATTCTTGCTGTGGAAAGTGCCGGTGCGTACTGGAATTACGATTACCTCAAAAGGAGAAGAATATCTCGAGGACCCATGTATGAGAGAACTGTACAAGGGAGGACCAAAGTATTATCCTGGGTGAGCAATGCTGCATGAGGGTTTTTGGCTTACTGCCTTTAAGACCATTTGTTGAATAATAGGCAGAGACCTGAGCTAATCGAACAACGTTCAGAGAAGCTGGATGAACCCGTGAAAATCTTCCTGGTTCGTCGGGTCCAGAAATTGAGCGGACAACCGTTTTGGGTGAAAGCTGACATGCGGAAGTTGAAATTGTTTGAATGGGTCAGCACATTTTTCTCGAATTATTTGCGTTCGTCGGTCAATCGAAGTTTATGTTAATTTTAGGAAGATAAGGAGGTCATTCTGAGAAATACAGCGAGGGTGAACGAGATCCTGTGGCGTGTGAAGCATTTGGTTCAGATCATCCCCGTTCAGTTGCCCGAAAATTTTCAAGGCAGTCCAGACGGATGTCCTACGTACAAAACTCAGATAAAAGACAATGGTGTGTTCACTGTTCCCGAACGACTGGTTCCATCAACGGAGCTTGAAGTCGCCGAAAAGGTTGATCCTCATCGAAGTACCCGATGGAATGGCCGTAGGATGCGTCATTGGTTGATTAATCAGTGGTATTCTGCCCGGAATCCGTGAATTCAGTGATGATTGTTAGTCGTGTTAATAAATTGTTTCGCTTTCTTCTTTGCTTCTCCTTCATTTCAAGTTTCCTGATTTTTAGGCGAAGCTTCGTTTACATAAAAAGTGCTGGGTAACTTACGTGGAATGATACATTTCTTGAAAGAAGACCGAAATGAATTTCTGAATTTTTCTTATGATTCTGCTTCGCGTAACTCAGGGTTTAAACGCTATGGACGATGGAAGTGTCGAGTTAGGAAAGGTGGATGATGGAATCGATATTTCAGCCCTTCGGTAAGTGAACATAGATTGAATTCTTTCATTTAGCCGGTTTGGTAGCTCAAAATCTTCCTTGTGTTTCAGGAAAATCCAGCCCTTGGACTTCTTCAACAAATGCTTGGTAAGTTTCCTATCTTTAGGATTTGTTCGTCCGCTGAATGTTATCCGTTGCAGGAGAAGGGATTGAGAATGGACTGCCGAAAATTCATAGAGCGCCGGAAATTGATGTTGGAAGTTGGTGGTTCTTCAACTGCGGACGGATTTGCCAGTGTTAAATTCGGAGATACGGTGGCAATTTGCTCCATAAAGGCGGTGAGTGATCTGTTCTTCGCTATCGTGAAAATTAAAAGTCCTCGCAGACCTTTTTTTATTCAATCGTGAGTCTTAAAATTCGAATTAAATATTTTAATTAAGATTAAGATTAAGATTAAGATTAAGAATTAAGATTTATTATGGGTACTTCAACGTGTGAGATTTTTCTTTGCGTGACTTACTTTTAGGTATATTGGTAATGTTTATTATTATTTACCATTTTTCTTTCGCATAATCATGCTACATGAATAATTCTTGTAGGAATTCGGCAAACCTCAGGGGCATGCTCCGAAATCCGGCTGGGCTATTATCTCAGTTGAAACAAACAATGTGGAAACACAAGGTGATGCGGGTGCGGATGCGGAGGATGACATGCTCGAAGAGCAGCAGGTTCGATGCAGTTTTTATCGTCAATTGAAATTATTATCCAGCTGAAGATAATGTATTTTGAAGGTTGCTGAATGCTGGCTTGATGATGCTTTGAACCTTGCCGTTGATCTCCGTGATCTTTGCATCCGTCCCAACGAGCTCGCGTGGGTGTTGTACGTAGAAATCAAGTCGGTTTCCTTGGATGGGAATTTTCGAGACGTTTCTACGCTTGCCCTCTTGTTGGCTTTGCAAAACGGTTGGTTTATTCGGGAGAATTTTGTTATTTCGTCCTTCCATTCCGCATGTTTTTTTTTTCAATTCCCTGTCTGAATCCCGTTAGGAACAATGCATTAGTGAAGAAACTAACTGAAAGGCTTTCCCCCTCAAACCTCCGATGCTCGAATTTTCTGGAGGCCTTTGGGCTATTATTTTATTGCTGAAGTGGAAGACGATTTGAGCAAATGAACCCTTGTTTCCAAGTTCAGCATCCTGTCAACTCATTTAAGAAGAAATTTAAGGCCCGTTGTATCACCAGTTACGATATCCTCTTATTTTTCTCTCCCCTGACAAAAGATGATTGTTTCCCTTACTCGTATAATTTTTTGCTGGTAATTTTTTTGGCAGTGACCCTTCCCGTTGTTGCGTACAATGTGGAAAAGAAATCGATTCGGATATTGAATTCTTTAGTGCGATTGCCTGTGAAGCGAAGGCTCTTTCCATTCACTTTTGTGGTGGAGGATTCGTGAGTACATTTCGTTCGTTTTACGTTATTTTACGCGTTTAAAATGCGTGTTTTTATAGAGAATTTTTGTTCGATCCCACTGCGGATGAAGAAGAGCTCAGTGAAGGAAAAGTATCTGTCGTCTTGGATGAAGCTGGGAATTTATGCAGCTTCGAATCGTTGGGTATGAAATCTTCTATTGGAATTCAGCATTATAGCAATTATAGGGGAGCTTTTATGTTGGTCACCTCGCGTTGTTTCATTCTGGTTTTCTCAGGTTTGCTTCCATCTCACATTGAGCCCATAAGTCGAGCCGTTGAAGAATCTTTAAAGCTTTTGCCAGCCTTGAAGACGAATGTTGAAGAGGCGTTGGAAGGCGCCGGGGCGCCAGTAGCAGTTCCTGATCGCGTTGTAGTTGGGCCACAATCCAGTATCGGTTCCAGAGACCCCGTTGCATTGACCCAGGTTGATGCTGCTGTACCAGATTACCAGGAGGAAGATGTTTCTATGTACGATGCATGATCCGTGGCGTCGTTTCTGGAGATGGTGCATGTTCGAGTCCACTTCACGGATGTGTATCAGGTTCGCTTTGATCGATTCGGAATTTTTCTATTGTTCGGAGAATATACTCGAGAAGGTTAACGTTCGTCTATTATCATTCTTCTATGAACCTGAAATATTCTCGTGTAATTAATTTTTTTTAGGTCCCTGGGCCTTTCTCGTTGCAAGATTTCACTTCTATGTTCAATTTATTTGCTGTAAATACTGTGAAGGTAGACTCTATTACAAAATTCAAGGGACCAGAAAAAATAGTTGCACAAAACCACTATGACGTTGGAAGCAAATCCGATCTGAACAAAAAAATTAAGTTGTTCTACAGAGATAATTGTTGTAGATTCCACATGTTTTTGTTGAAGATCATGAACTAGGATGGGGATGTTGTGTCTATTCAAGTGAATAGAAATATTTAATGCAGTAACATAAACAAACGTTCTGATTATGCTTTTTTTCTGCAAGATAGTTTTTTTTTTTTTAGTTTCATCTCAAGTTTTGGCATTTTTCTTGATTAAAAAAATTACAAGTAAACTCTCTCTGTCTAACTCTTGTCTACAACAATTTTCTCTGGATGCGAGATAATTTGTACTTCGTGGTTCTGTACCCATCGTATAAGGGTGCTCTGTAGTCTATAACAAAATTTTCCCAGCAACAATTTTTTTTCTAGTCTCATGAATTTCATACCAGAGAGTCCATCTGTATTTTCTTGGTGTCCACTTGGGATTGCAGTGGGAGACCTGACCTTTGTCATGCAATTTAGGGAGAACAGGTTGAGAACCATGGCTGTAGAAAAGAGCTTTACAGAGAATTCATTGGTTTTTCCAGGAAAAGTGAGACATTACAATGTGTGAACATCCTAAACACTTGAGGACGATGAGGTTTTCGAGGAACGAGTCAACTCCAACCTTAGACCGGTTGTCCTGCAGAAAATTCAATAATTCATAGGCTTGATGACATTGAAATACTGTCAAGACAGAAAAGTAGCGTTAAAAATCGTACGACCTCCAGCTTGCCCTCTCTGTTGTGTTGGGAGCATTGGACAACGTACGTTGTCTAGCGTTCGTCGGGCAGATGTCGCTAACGGTTTAGGAGGCTTTCATCACTTATTCGCACTCTCTTCTCAAACTCCCTCTCTCTTGGGGAGGGGAGACGAAAACCATATGCTGCGCATCGGGGGGAATTGGGGAAGGGGAGGGCATGTGTATCAGTTGGTCAACCCAGGAAGACGAGGAAGTACAGGCCCATCTGTGCTTGGGCTCGCCCCTGTCACACCTTCCGGGGGCAGAGGGTGCGTGTTGGGGCGTAACTGGGTGGATACTAGGTGGTGGCCAAACCGCCAGGGGGAGTTGAAATACCGGGGCCTAGCTGAGTTAAGCATGGGGTGGTGAGTTTCTTTCTAGTTGAGGGCGGGTTCTATATCTGATGGTGACTAGTTCATTCCTGGGTCTTTCGTGAGGCGATCTAGGAGGGGTTAGGAAGGCGTTGACTGGACAGCGCATTAATCCAATACTGTATTGAATATGACTCCCTTTGAAATGTTGTATAAGCAGTATTTCACTGTAGCGTTTCTTGATGATACAGTAGTAAGTTTGATTTACCCGTGTTTACTCAAGTACCACGTGGACCTTTTTCTTGAAAACAAACGCAGAAAAGTGGGGTGCGCGTGTTATTATACTGTACATACATTTTAAATTTAAAGAGTACAAAAAGTAGGAGCAATAAGTGATCATTACTTTGTGCAGGTGCAATTCAGTTTGTTTCGAATTCAGTTAAAATGTTCCTTCTTGTATTTATTCATGTAATTAATTTGGTAGGTGGTACCTTGCAATTTAACCCTAATCTGTTGCCAAGTTAGGGTCAAATGGCAAAGAAGTCACATTGCAAGATACTTTGTGAAATTTAAAAAATATCAATGCAAAAGCACACAAAAAATGGCCAAAGCAGGTCAAATTGTGGGGCAAGGGTGGAATTGTTAGTCAACCTCCATGCAAATTGACCATCAGATTTTGGGATGGTCAAATTGCAAGGTACCACCTGTAATATTTTCAAGATAATTTTTCAATCATTTAAAACTGGGCTGTGTGTCTTATGCAGGGATACATTTCTGGGGAAATGTCATGCCAAAAAATTGAGGTGCCATCATTCTTTGGGGTGAATGATACTTGATTGGATACAGTTGTAGAGAGTCCACCTGTATATACAGGTGGTCTCTCTTTCTACTTGTCTCTTAATTATTTTCTCTGTACATTACATTGTTGTGGCTGCATTGGGCATATGGCTCTCTCTTTCCATTTTATATATGTTCTCTACAACAATATTCTCTCCACAATTGCATTTTTTTCTGGTCCCTTGGGTTTTGTTGTGGAGAGGATCTGCCTGAATTAACACAATTACAGCATAATCTTGACTGAAAACTACATCTGCAAAAATGTGGGGCCCAGGATAGAGAAAATGAAAAATTACAATTCCCCAATGAGTAAATAATTTGCTTTACAACCTTTGCCTCAAATCTGAGCTGTAATTTGACTTGTCAGTGCAATACAGTTTTATCAATTGCAGGTTTAGAAATACAAGTGGACTCTTTCTCCCTCTAAAACAACATTTCAATGGACCAGAAGAAATTGTGGTGGCAAGAATCCAGTTGTAGACAGAATAATTGTGAATGGAGTCCACCTATAATGGAAATTAGATTTTTTTTTTCAATTTTGGATCTTTGGCCTCAACAGAAATTTGTGAGAAATGAATTGCACCAACTACAATAAATACAGTGTAACAACTGTATGCGTTTTTGTCTTAATGCATAGGAAAATATGCACATTCAATGTGCTGAATAAGAAGCCTGATTTGGTCAGACTTAATATTTTACCTTTGAGTTGAAGGTGCAATCTGTAATTGGTCATTTTTTACAGTCAATTGACTGCATGGCACATTTTAGAAAAATGCTTGCTTTTAAAAAATAATTTTTATTTAAAACGGCCACACAGAAACAATTGGAAAACAAAACAGATGAAGCGTAACACACAAAACAAGTTAGCAAACCTTTACTGAGGTAGATTTCTTATAGTTTGCTCTAAATTGTCTAAATAATCCGCCACGTTTTCCTTGGCAACGTCGTAGATTTTGCTGAATCTGTCCACAAAGCCCGTATTCTCCAATGTTGACGCAGTTTTTGTGTACAAAGCTCGACTTTGCTCCTGGATGAGGGAACCCAAATCATCTGCAAACCCCTGGGCTCGTTTCCACGCGTTTTCCAGCCCGTCTCTGTCACCCTTGGTCAAGGTTTCTTCGTAAATTCTCGTGATTTCTTGCTTCACGGCTGACCCAAGATCATTTGCGGCAGTTTTGAAATCGGGTTGAATATTAGCCGTAAAGGTCTCGTCAAGGACTGCATTTTTATTGCCCGGGTTCAACCTGATTTTTAAATGACAGGTGAAATTCCTTTATTGCGAATGAATCATTTGGGGAAAACATTGGTCCTAGGTTCCAGCAGAAATTCTCTCTGCTTTTAAGCAGTCTCGTCTAGAAAGATTTTCTCTGTATGGTAAATTTTCTTCTGATTTCATTTTTTTTTGTTGATGGAGTCCACCTGCTGTATTACAAATTTCCAAAATTCATTGCAAAATATGTATCAGAACCCGCAATTGTCAGTTTAATGTTATCTTTATTGTTTAGAATTTGACAGTACAGGTGGTACCTTGCAATTCCACCCTGATTTGTTGCCAAACTTTGGTCAAATTGCAAAGTGGTTCAAATTGTGAGACACTTTGTGAATTTTAAAAATGTAAGTACAAATATTAAAAAAAAAGTGGCCAAAGCAGGTTGAATTGCAGGACAGTCAAATTGTGAGGTACCAATTGTACTGAACTTTGTTCTAATTCTTGCCTGCATGTGGTTTGAAATTGAGGATAATTATGAGAACATGAAGGATGATTTGAATTTAAATGACATTATGTATTCAGTCAAGTTGCTGTGTTAATGCTCCCAAATGATCTCAATTTATTATTAAATAAATAAAACATCATTCAAACCTCTGATCATTTTTTTTAGAAAATTGCTTAATTTATTCAAGAGGAAATATATAATGCATACAATTTTTATATTTCTTCTAGAAGTGTTGATTAGTTGTCCAGGTCTTGACACAGTTTCTGGATGTTGTTGGGGCTGATTTCATGAGTTCTTAATGTAACTTGAGTACCATTTATAGGATAATCAAATACAGTACAATAGGTATTCAGAAAATAATTTTCATCTTCAGACCTTGAAGAAGAAGAAAAACTGTACAATTGTGTAAACCAAATTTTTGGACCTGAAACAGCTGGAAAAATTAATTGACGGAAGTTGAAGTTGGAGGCAAGGGTATATTTGTCCAATTATTTTTAAAATGCAGCATCAAGTAAATATTTTCATAGAGTTATATCTCTGAGATTTTCATAATAATAGCCCTGAGGAAACATGGACAAGGGAATTTCAGGTTATTGAGCAAATAATTTTTTTTTTCTTTGGAATGGAAAAGAATGCTTTTCTTATTGCTTCTATCCCAGCAAAAAAAAATAGGAACAACTGTCTGAAATTTACTTCATGTAAAACAAATTACTCAATCATGTCATTCATTGAGGTAAATATAAGTATAAAACCCTTTCATCTCTTCTTAAAAAAAAAATCAAGAATATCTGAGGAAATATTTCTCTTACACTATGCAAATCATATTGAATTACTATACCTTCCAGAGAGGTGAACCTCTGCATAAGAGGCATGACCAGCTTCTTCTCTGTCAGCATCTGCCAACTGGCGATAAACTGATTCAGGTAACTTCATTTCAGGTTCAGGCGATGCATTCAACTGCGGCTGTGCTCTGTCACGTTCCAATAATGTAGAAGGATTTCTGAAGGCGAAAAAAAAAGGAAAATGAATCTCGAGCCCAACTGTGTGTAAAACTTCATATCTTTAAGCAACAAAATGTCTGCCGTGTTTATTTCAACTCTCAAATATTCTGTAGTTATTTTGAAAATTATACCGACATTTCTAAAATGATGCTAGTTAGCGTTCCATGAAAGGAACAATATCTTCTATAATCGCAGACCCTTCTTGGAAACTTCGCAATTTCCCTGGTACAATGCACAAATTTTCATGTCTTGAGTTGCTGGAAAGAAAAATAATTGACAGGAAGCTGAACTTGGAGTCAAGGAAGCATTTGCCCTTTTATTTTCTTGTGAAATGGAACAGTGTTCCCCAACGTGCAGTCTATGGGAGATTTTCAGCATAATAAATGCATCTGAAGTCTGTTATTGTTATCTGATAGTTTGGGTGGGAGTTGAAATTATAGTTGAACCTCTCTAAGTCAAATGTCAATGGACCAGCAAAAAAAATTTGACTAGGGGAGGTTTTAAATTGAGCTACAATACAAAGCTATTTTGTTCTGTGAAAAACAGAAAAATTGCTCAAAATTTTAAATTGTGATATTCTGAGTCTGAAATTACTCTTTAAATGAGTTGAAAGAATCCTGAACTTGAAGGCAGGGTTCATTTGCCCAATTACGTCTCTCACCTCCTTTTAAAACAAATCACTTTCTTTTTATATTGCCTTTTTATATGCCAAGGAAATAAAAGCAAACAGGCCATGGAAAATTTGAGTTATGGAGGTTTGAGGGGAAAATCCCTTGACTTAAGTTTTTAAATGCATTACTTCTAAGGGGATTCAGACAGGACCTGAAAAATATTTGGACTTGGGGGGGGTATTCAACTAAGAGAGGTTCAAGTTACTGAGGTTCAACTGTACTATATCTGATTAAAATTCGGCTTTTCCCTCAATAACACTAAAGAATAATTTCCACCTCCTGAAATAAATTTTTTTCACTTTTCCTTCTGGGAAACCTTTTTTCAAAGCCCAGCTTTTTACTAGAAAACTTCACTATAACTGCTTCGATTGTTCTTAACTAGATTTTTTTTAAATAAAAAGTTTTGTTTGGAGGAAATTATGGAAGGTATTTAAAACTATTCTGACGGTCTGCAAAAATTTTATGGAATGCTACCAGTCTGCAGAAAATTTGTGCAAATTTGACGCTCTGTGGGTCCAAAAGGTTGGGGAACACTGAAATAGATCATGAAAGTATAGTACAAAAAGACCCCCGAAATTCAGTGAGAAATTCTGGTGTATGAACGTGAATATTGGTTATGAGACAAACCGGGGATTAAAATCGGCGATGTTTCCTGGGCTCATCTGATCAGGAACTGCTGATTTCACGGGTTTGGCAGCAGTCGGGTTCTTTGAAACGACGGTTGGAGGTAATCCTCTGATGAAGAAGCCTTCGTTCGGAACATCATTTCTCCGAGATTCATCCACCGATTCGGAAGGAAACACGTGCTTCTGCTCTTTTGTCTCCATCACTCTAAACATAATGAAATGGAAATTTTTCTTCTTATGGTTAGTGCAGCAAAAGTCTCGGTTAAAGGAAGGACGTGATATTTCCTCTCTCAAATTGCGTCATGCAAAAAGTCTGTGAACCGAGTAATATACCGTAAATTTGGACAGAATGAATAATTTCCTCCAGTGTCTCGGTTAATCGACGCTATTTTTCATCCGAAAGCATTTTAACCGAGTGATGCAAATTTTTACAAAATGACGAATTACTTCAAGTGGCCCGGTTAATAAACTTGATATTTTCGTTTGGGAAGTGTCTTATCGGAACATTCTGCTAACTGAGTATTGAAAATTGTATGCCGGAAAGTTTCGCGGCTAATGGACTTCATATTTTCTATTAATGAGTGCGTTATCCGAAAATTCTTTCAACAAAGTAATGCAATGCGTATAATCCAAATTGGTTAAATTTTTCCAGACCCACCAAAGAATAGGACCACGCACAAGCAGATTAATGTCAAGCTACTCAATTCATGGAATGAATGAATTTTGTTGCTATTTCGTGCACAGTTTTCCTTTTCAATGAATAGCACGGTTTTTTCTATTTTTTTTTTCATATTTCAAAAGAATTAACCTCACGGACTATTGACATGACATGTAACGTAACTTTAATGAATATCCTAATGACTCTCGACATGATATTTAACGTAATGTTAAATTTCAAATCGGAGTGCGTAATGTTATTTCACTTTTTGACGCAGGATAAAAAAACATACCTTGAAATTTCCCGAGAACTTGAACGATTGTAAGTAAATGACCAACAATTTGTAAACTGTGCGATTAAATTACTTGTAAAGTATACCCCAATCATTTTTGGATTTCCAGCAAATAGTACTGCCGAGTTACGAGTAATCGGGACTCAAATTCATAAATAAGTTATTGTGTTTGTAGAGTCTATATACGTTTGTTTCACTTGATTGAACATAAAATAGCATAGCAGAAACATCATTGGGAAGCAAGAAAAATGAGCTTGGAAATACAGTACAGTGAGACCCCCACATGCAGACAAGTCAACATAGTGACACTTATTTTCCCAGAAGAAATTAATGAAAGAGGTCTGACATGAGGACATTGACTCAACAAGGGACATTTCGTGATAATATTACAATTAAGTTTCAGGCCAAATTACAAGAAACAGATATTTCCAACCCTAAAATTTATGTAAGAAAAGTTCTTGGGCATTTCTCCCTCCTATTTACCATCCATTTAGCTAATTTTAAAAAATTGCCTCCTGCATAGAGGGAATTCCTTCTCTCTTTTTCACTTAAATGTTATTTTTTACAGAGAATGCCAACATTTCTATGTACTGTACAGAGGTATCAGTATTCAATTCCCCAAATTTCCATATTGTTTTGAAATATATTGATTGAATCAGTTCAAATTGGGAGACAATTTTTATTTTCATGGAACTATGGTTGAGTATTTTGTCAATAAAACACCAATTAAAAGTTATATAATGTAAGTCCAAGGAAAACTGAGACTTTGCTTGGGGACACTCTTCATGCATCAATTATTTCTGCATCTCAGGGGTCTCACGGTATTATCAAAAATTCGCACAAGAAGTTTTCATCATTTTCAACTTTGCCTCTTTTACTCATTTTAATCATGCAGTCCCTTATACGAAGCATGGTATGATTTGCGAAGCAGTAAGCGGTATCAACGCTCGTCTCAAATATTTTAATAACCGCGGCGCAAAAAAATTGCATCGATTCGACTTACTCGAACTCTCTGCAATTTTTCATTAAAAGAAGCTAAATTTAAAAGATCGCATGCGGATCGTGCCTGTCAAAGGGTTCTTTAGTTTGCGCTGAATGCGGTTCCCGAGTACTCCGATGATTGCCACCACCATTATTCACAGCCCACCAAAAGTTTCCAAGACCAGTGGGTCCCACTTTATTCTCTGCATTGCCCCATCCAATTTCCTTTCTTGAGAAGAAACATTTTAAGACTGAGTTCAGATTAAGACTTCCTCGAAACGCTTTTTGAAAGATTGAGTCAATACAAATTTGAACACTCACCGTCCCTTGGAATTACCAACGTCTTTACCGAAGGAGGCCGAATCAGTTGTGTCCTTCTGGGCGGGAAACATGTCCTGTCTGCAATAAAAACGGTAGAAGGATTCTTTTCAGTACAAATCTGACGTCATTATAAGGTAGGTGTCGCCTGAATCACTAGAACAACATTAACTGGAGTGACGCAGTAATCTAAAGAGAAACTAGCATTGCCTACCTCATCCTAAATGAATTTTAAACCCGGAATCAATCTACAAGGGACTACGCCGTCGTATCACAGGATCCATAATTCGAAAATACATTCAATTTTCAATCTACATTTCTCCTTTTTTGCCTGGGATTACATCTTAAAAGGGCCTGCGAATTTCAAAACACTAGCAATTCCACCCACCATGGCGATGAAGTGTTGCAGAAAAGTTCAAAATTAGGGCGACATCTGTTGACATTCAAGAAAATCTCACACTCCTCTCGTTACACTTCTACACAACAGATGACACTACTAGATTAATCTGCTATTTTTTTCTTCGAACAATACTAACGCGGCTTTCACAACGGAGGCAATGTCTTCCGCAGAATATTTCCGTTTCCCATCCCTGCCGATTGTACCGTACACTTCGGGTACATTAGGGGCTCCCTCGAAATGTTCCTTCAAAGTTTTGCCTTCTTGACGAAGACTCCAGTAAAGTTGGTACAGTCGGGGCAAAGTTATATTGTGATTGGGAAAGACGATCTGCTTCCGTTTCGCTTGGTTCTCCTCTTCATTGAGATCAATCCGAGACCGTTCGCCATCATCCGTGAACTCAGGAACAGGTTCAATTTCCTCGGGTTGGAATGGAACACTGTTCTTCTAAAAAAGAAAGATCAAAGCAAGAAAGCATAGATTTCAGACAACTTTCCACTAATAGAGATTGTTTCAAGAAGAACAAAAACTTCACATTTTCGAAGAAGAGCCTGTCTAAACAACTGTAGAGGAGATAAATCGTTCACAGTGATCTTCATTTCATGAAAGCCTTCGTTAATCCCTTGTCAGTATCAACACTTGAAAATGATACTGGCCGTTCATTTATCAATTAAGCATTCATTCGTGTGAATTTGGTTCATATTGCAATTACGTTCACATTTCGCGCAAACAATCTGGGTCAGTCAGCACCAATTTACGTCAGCACCGATGTTCTTGCAAGGAGAAAAAGGGAAGTGTGCGAATTGAACGAACAAGTCCGGCACCACAAACGTAATTCAATACTGTACTCTATACGTATAACCACAAAACGCGTTCTACTTGATTAAGCTTTTCCATGAACCGTGAGTGCAACACGGACAGCATCGGAAGGCGTTCTCCAGGAGATGCGGCAGTAGTAGTGGTGGTGGTGGTGACACTACTTGCCTGCTCTTGCTCGGTATCTCCTTCGAACCATCCCGCGAACGGATTGTGGACCCCAGGGAAGACCGGCACAGCCTGACACGCGATGTTCAGAGTCAGAAATACGCCAATGATCGCAAAAACACTCAATCGGGACATCTTCTTTCCTGTTAGTAAGCCAATTAGTTACCGTATACTTGTACAGCTTTTCAGCGGAAGCTTTGAAATGGACACTTGTCAAGTAAGTTGGTCAAATCGTGCCTGGAGAAAAGCGCCGTAAAATATATTGTTTGTACTGCTCATTTTTTACGAACGTTCTCGTTATGTTTTTACACATTTGCCGAGGATTACTGTATACACGCTGTAAAACAATCTTTTTTGCATCAGGGATGCTCTGTGCATCATGAATGATGGTTCCCGATCGTGATCCATTCTTATCGAATTGGGATTATGAATGGTTTTTGTGACGTTGCGATGTTTTGCATACACATCAGTGATTTCACGCGAATATAATTCCTGATTTGAATATGGTTAACATCGGCGAAATGAAGACAAACAAAATAATTAACGTAAGAGTGTTCGCCACAGCTGCTCTCCGCGTTACTTATGGCTCGTCCACGCTTTTCCCCGGTCACCGAAAACTCAAGTTTGAACCATTTTCGCTTCACGTCGCACGATATTCCAGTCACCGAAAAAGCAATGAATCTTAGCTGAGCGTACTTCGAGAGAAGCCGCACAGAACAAATGCTTCCACAGTCGCTGGTCACTTTTTATCAACTAGCAGATATGCGGTCAAGGACCAAAAAACTTACCCCGCAGTTCCGTGATAATGACGCTCTCGTGCTGTCCTCTCTTCAGACTTCCACAGAAGCACTGACTCACAGATGTGGAGCTCGCCAGGCGTCCAGAAAGGAAGTTCAAACGGATGCATGATCACGGTTTCTTCATTAATAAGGGCTGGGTAATTCCAACCGCTTCGTGGGATGGAATCATGATCCCACTCTACACACAGATAATCTACAGGATAGGATTTACATGAATAATACTGCGCACAGAAGTGAACAATGACTGGCTAACTTGATCACGCTGGCTTCAATTAAGCCAAGAACATCGCAAAAACGATCTTTTCAAAATCTCGAGAAGGACCAAGACCAAAACTACTCTAAACAGAAGTCACACGGAGAAAATAACCTGTTACGACACTACGTACCCTAGTGATAAAATCGCAGAGAGGAGATGGAATCTTTTCTCTCTCGCACGTATTCCGTGATAAGTTGTGTCAATACAGCTTCTGATAATCGAAATTTGAAGAATTGATGACGGAATTAGATGGAGTTCCAAAAATGATTATACGAAAAAACTCTTGACCTCTTGAGGATTAATTCCTGCCTTTGACAGTCTGGGACATTAAGCTTTGACAAAAATGTGAACGACTGGATCCGAACACGGATACCCCGGTTAACGGCCTTGATTCGTTCCAATACCAAGGCTTATCCCAAAAAGGTCATTAACCGGGTGATGTAACTCTCCACACTTGAACAGCACAGAAAACTACACCCAACATCCCGTAATCTTTTCCATACAGCGGCCTCCACATCATTTCTCTTTCATAATCACATTTGAAACAGCAGTTTAAAATTTTTTCGACGGAACCAGTGTTTTCAATCGGTGGTTATTGAGGTACCGCATGCAACATGAGCATGTTCGACTCACCTCTGAGGATTCCGATCATCTCAGAACGAAAGTTTTCCAACCTAGCACGATAATTCAATAGTCGGTCAGGTAGAAAAAAAAATGAATTCCAATTTCTACAGAGGCGTAAGAGCACTTCGGTCTGCTTTAGAATCTACAAAAATCCGAGAAGCTGAACTTGAGCACAAACGCAATTTGAATTCAGGTCAATCTAAAATTAGACACTTTTTGAAAATTTTCACTTCAGAAGAATTACTGCACGGCTTACTTGCGTTTATTTTCAATTTATGTTACAAATGTACTCTCTAAAACGCTTGTTGTAACAGTTTCCTACGACTAAATTCTCTCAACAATTTATTTCTAGTTTCCCTCGAATTTCATGGTAGGGAGAGTCCACTTGAATTACAATCAGAACACACCGCAATAAGTCCTCCTGAATATCTAAGAGGAGAAATAATGATTAGGGCCCATCTCATTCTCGGGAAACCACTCCAATTACATTCCTTACGAAAAAAAAGTATGCCATGAACGTGTCCTGGAACGACACTACAGTCGATCAACAAGGAACAAATTGCACGCATTAACGAAGAAGCAAGCCACTTCGTACTCCTGATCTAGACACCTTCGTAAAAACTAATGAAAAAAATCGCAAGGAACTGGTTTGTCTGGATTTCTAAACGCGGATTTATTTTTTTTCTCTTCAAGAAGATTCTCTACGTATAACGCGAGGGAAAATGCTAACGCGCGCACAGATAAAAACTTCATCTCCGACGCACTTCGTCAATCACGGGCGAACATTGAACTGTTCCCAAGCGCATCACAACTCGGTCAGCCCCTCAATCAAAATAAAAACTACACGCCAAAGGCCAATAAACCGGTCGCGATAGTTCCATTTTTCACAGCGTCAAGCATTCTGGGAATTCTGAGGTCAACGCAGAACACTTCTGATCGTGAAATACACCGCGATTCAGGAAACAAATACGGGAGTACAGTAGAGTGACGGCAATGGAATTACGCACTACTGCGGCACTAGGAGTCACGCGGAAGCATTCACATGCAGAAGACCAAGAGAAAAGATTACCGTTAAAAACTACATTGCTTAATTCTGCCTTTAGGACGACAAGACTTGACTGAGGTAGCAGGTCCAAAAAAACATGGGACCAAATTTCAAAAAAAAAAGCTGCTGACACTTCCGAAAATAAATCGGCTGCATGACACAAAATAGGGCTCTCGCACTTCTGCAGGGTGGAGCAAAGAATACAAGTAGACATCGCTTGATTATATAACTTCAATGCCATCACGGGATCATCCAATACATGATTTGAATTCACGGAATTGAGGGAACTGACGTAAAGGTAAAGATGAATGAACCAACATTTCCTCAATGATTTTTTTTTACTGTAATAGCAAAATTCGAGTACCGGTGACATCTGCAAGAGAAAAAACGAGCTACTGATTCACTTTCATGTCCTTGAAGGGAACCAAGAAATAATCAAATTTATTGGAGAATTTCCTTTTGTAGACTTCATAAACTCGCGGGGTTCCTCGAGTTTAAAACGTAAAAAAGTATTTTTGCCAATTAACCTTAATATTTTTCTATCATGCCCATGACGTGAAATCTTGACGAAAATGATCTTTTTAATCCTGCAAATTGGGACCGCGAGATCCCTAGTTCCGTACAGTGATTGGTCAGAACGACAGGGATTACTCCTGCACACGTGCAATCAAACGGGTCACATCATTGTTCGCACTGCGGAAAATTTTTTCATGAGGAGGATTAGTACAGGTATTTTCCGGGATTTTGCGCAGACGATGAAAATAGCACCAATTTCGCTCGCTCATAATTCAAAAAAAGAGAATATCTCAATACACGCTCAAACGCTCGCCTCAAAACAAAAAACCGAATATTACACGAACATTCTTACATTCGTCAAACGATCCTTTACCAACATCACCTAGGCATAATGACACCCACTTGTTCAACAGGAAAAACTTGTTGTACAACAACAAATGGAATTAAAACTTTAAAAGATATCGAAAACCTGTCAGCTCAAGTTCCCGAGGGAATACGAAAAATATCTCTCTTACATCAAACTCGTATCTCTGTAACGCTTTTACAGACCAAAAAGAAAAACAAAAATCCTTTCATCAATTTCCAAAGGAGGAAGAGGAGAAAAACGCCCCTTCATTGCACACACCACAAACAAACAAAAAAGCTGTCTCACGCGGAGGAACCACTCGTACCCGCACCACCACCACCGCCGCCGCCACCACTGCTCGCACTTCCACTAGAACCACCACTGCTGCTGCTGCCGCCGCCGCCACACGCGCCATGCTTCGGCACAATGTTCTTCTGCGACGCAAGCAGGCTCAGCTGGCGCTGAATGTGCTGCGGCACTGTGGGACTTCGCACAGAGCCAGAGCTGGAGTTTGCGCGGCGACTCCCGTGCTGACGCCTGCTGGGAGTCGAAACGCGCGGCGAGCTTTGAGTGGCGGCGCCGCCACTGGCAGATTCGTTCGCTGCCGTGGGTGGAAAGAAAACGTGCGAATCCGGCACGAGAGGAGTGCTGCTGAGCGGAGGCGTCGGGGTCGGCGGCGCAGATGACGGCGGCTGCGTGGGGTGGACCAGACTGAGCGGCGCCGGGCGAGACGCACGTCGTGGCTGCGGGGTTCCAGTCGCGTTTCGATCCGTCGTTGCCCTGAAAACAAGTACGGAAAATAGTACCATCGCGGTTAAGGTTGCTTCAAAGATTCAGCGTCGCAATATACGAGGGTTGTTTAACATTCCACACGGACTTGGAATATTTCACGAGCAGTTAACGCAACAAGAGGAATTTCCTTTTCTTCATAAAACATGGTACAGTATGCACGAAATGATTAGAGTTTTCAATTTCAAACGACTTTCTTCCCCAATGAATGACGAGAAAGGAACACTCTTTACAATGGCGACTAGAAACCAGCGTAACGGCAGAAAATAACCGTAAGAAACGTCAAACGAAAATTACTCGTCACCCGGAACAAACCAATTTCACAATAAAATTGTTTCTCGGACTACTGCATCTCCGAGAAATATTCAAGACTACATGGAATTCCAGGAACTTTCAAGCATCTGCATCACGAAGTTGTCTGGTGTTCCGCTATACCAAACAAATTGATAAATAATTGAACAAAGTACAGGAATGATTCAGAATTACACGATCCGATCAGATCAGAAAAAATTTCCTTTTGGTCCATCACAAACATTTACAAACCAAATTCTGAAGTGATGCCATCAATATATACAAAAATGAGAATCAAAATCACGGAATAAGTTGATGAACAGGTTTCCCTTACATGGCCTCTTCATAAAACCAATTAATGCAGTATTTCTCATTATCAAGACCAACAGTATTTTGAGCGTTAAGAGGTGCATAAATAGAAATTTCGATTCAAAACGTCAGAAATCAAGGTCAGCAGATTAAAAACACAGATCGAGTCCAACGAACAGCGTTACACCACCAATACTACCGAACATAAAAAAATAGCGAAATCAATTTACCTCGCGTCAATCAAGTTCCCTTGACTAGTACGAAATCTCAGAGTGGCCGTAGGAGGAGCACCAGGCGGATAACTCACAGACAAAATAGCGCCATTGATCATACCACCTGATGCTGCAGGATTCGAGGCAGGTGGTGCAGCTGAACCATTCGACACAAGGTTTTGTCCAGGGGAACCTATTCATGAAATGGAAAGTATAACGCAAATGGTATTAAGATACAGTACTATAGTTTGAAAAATGCATCATAAAAAACACGTCTTGCAATGTGTTAATTATTCACTGGTTCGATATGCCAAGAATATCCGCATATTTTTGCCCGACTCCTTCGTTCCGATTTGTTCCCAGTGCATAAATATCGCCTAAATCTAGTCACGATACGCCAGAAATTACGAGGATTGCTTCTGCTCGTTGAGGGTGCATAAAGCGAACTTGGATGGAGTCAGATCAAGTAAGTTTTGGCTATCTGAGGGTAATTCAGTACAGAGAAACCTCTTTACGTCAAACTTCAACAGACAACAATTCGACTTATGGAGGTTTCCAGCCTGGGGAATAAGCATTTTCCTCAAGGGAAGGAAGAAGAATTACAAGAAAATTGTAATTTGTTATATTTTGGGCCTTCAACTGGTTCTCAGATGAGTTGACAGGATACTGAACTTGGAAGCAAGGGTTCATTTGCCTTAAGAGTATACTGTACTTCATCACTTCCTTTCATAACACATACTGTACAGCATTGCTTTTTGCTGCAGTCAACAAAAGATGGCCAAAAGGCCTCCAGAAAATTCGAGTTATGCATTCGGAGGGAATTCAGACAGGTACTTCAAAACATTTGACACAGGGGGGAGTATTTGACTTGAGGAACTTCGAGTTATCGAGGTTCAACCGTTATTCGGGTTGGAGATTCAGGCGACATCTACCCGAGATTTAGGAAAGCGAGTCCGGAGTGTTGAAGCGAGAAGACAACAGATGACGCATTATTCCCCGAATGTTCTAGAATCTAGATTATCTAGATGGAAGAAAGAGAAAATGATTTTTACCCAACATTCGCGGGTCGCTCGCCACGGCCGCCACAAGATCCCGATATGCCGACAACTGCTCCGTAGAAAGCACATGTGGCTCGGACTCCGTACGCGACAAACTCACAGGCCAAGATTGCTGGATTCGGTCAAGCAGTGGCTGCACAGGGGGACGAGGATTCCCAGCCACTCCGCTGGAGCTTCCATTTCCTGGCGTCACCGAACTACCGGTATCCGCTAACAAGGGAATCGTATCACCGACCTCTCGAATCCTGACATCACCGTCAGCGGGGGACTGGAATGTTTCCACCTTGGAAGAATAGAACCAAGTCAATACACACGCCTCTTGCCAAATCAATTAAGCGAATGGAGGTTGCGGATGCGACAAAGTAAAAAAAAACTGTATTGCGTTTCAGACTACGCTTTAATTTACACCTGGCGTCTACCGTTATGGACGAAGTCCCTTTAACATTCGTGAGTTTGAAAACTCAGTGATACGTACTTCCCCTACCCAAAATGATTGTATCACACTCACTCTAGTCCACGAGCCCTGAACTGCACGAGCAACAGCAGTTTCGCCATTCTTCTCATCGTCATCAGCTCCACTGGGAGACGCGGAAACCGGCACTTCTCCATTGCCGGAGCTGCCACTGCTGTTCTCGTCCATCAAAGCACTGGGGCACTCGGGTACCAAGCGAGACGAAAGCTCATGTGCTGCCAGATTCCTCCACATGCCTATCACATTCTCCAGAGCATCCTCCAGTTGATCAGCAGTCAAGCGATTCTTCGGGTCCGCAGTCAAAAGCCGACTGATCAAACTGTGCGTGTTTCTCGAAACTCGTCCATCCCTGAAATGACAGGCGTATTTTGAATAAGCTTTGAACACCAACACGACGGCTTGAGGGAATTACATCGGTAAAGTGTAGTCGACCGTCTTGATCTTTCTGAACAATTCCAGAGGCTCACTGTCGTAAAATGGAAAGCGTCCATACAGCATCGTATACAAGACCACTCCAAGTGCCCACATATCCGAAGGTTTACCTGAAATCGAAGATGAAAACAGAATTTTATAATCCCCGCAACAACAAGAACAGCAAAAATTTGAACACAGCATCAACTAGCACAACTCATCGCATTCACATGAACATTAAACGCATCCAAAGATTAAAAAGGGTTCGGCAAACAAATGCCGGGGTGAGCTCGACACGTGCTCTACCTCAAAAGAACAACAGCTTACAGCATAATTCGAACCCAAGACATAAACGCTAGTGCAAGAAAGCCTTCCGGAAATTCGAAGTGAAATAGTCATTATTTGCGAAGAAGGCGTCACTTGAAAGAAAAGTAGTGCGTTTTTCTTGGCATTCCAACGCAGTGTTTCCGAGAAGATCCTGTGATTTTAAACCGGTTCACTTTACGATTTACCTCACTCGAAAAACTCAGTAAACTTTTGAAAATTGCGGTGGGTACAGTCAAACCTCTTCAAGACGAGCTTTAGCGGACCAGCGAACAAATTCGAGTCAAGCAGGTTTCAGGTAAAGGAAACAAGCAATTTTGTTGAAAGCAAGCACAAAACATTATAAAAAATTGTACTGTAATTGGCGATATTCTGCGCCTTAAATTGTCTTTCAAATGAGTTGACTGGATGCTGAATTTGGTGGCGAAGTTTCATTTGCCCGCTTTCATTTCCTTTCAAAACACATCAAGTTAAATTTTCATTCCTCTATTCGAGTTATGGCTGTTTGAGGGGGGAAAGCCTTTGAGTTAGGGATGTTCTTAATACTGTACATGATTTCTGAAGAAATTCAGACGAGGACTAGAAAATATTTGAGATAGGGAGGTTCGAGTTATCGAGGTTCACCTGTATTACAACCACTTGCACCTCATATTACTGTGAATGCGGTAGTTCACTTACGTAACGTCAAAAACTTGCTTTGGCAACAGACACTCACCACAATATGGTTTACCAGAGAGGACATCTGGAGAAATGTAGGCAGGAGAACCACGTTGATCCCTCAACAGGTCTCGGTCCGAAAGAAGATGCTTCCCGAGACAGAAATTTGTGATTGTAACCCGATAGGTATGCTTATTGAGGACGAGATTACCCAGCTTCAAGTCCCGATGAACAATATTCTTCTGATGCAACCGCCTCACGGTTCGAGCAACATCGTAAAAAATCTGAAGAGTTTCTTGCTCCCCTAATCGTTTTTCTTTAATGACGTATTGCTGTAGGTTCACGAGCTCCGGGTTGCGGGAACCAGGATCCGCAGCTGTACATCTTTCGAGTACCAAACTTAGCTTTTTTTGCAGCCGACCGGTATAACCTTGGGAAACTTCGTCAATTTCCGGGGTCACATACTGCAACACGAATTCAACGCACAAAATCAGAGGCTGTAAATCACGACACTAAGATACACCACCATCATATAACATGGCTTTCACCAATGCCAATTACACTGACATGTTTAGAAGCCTCACGAAGAGTAAACGAAGAACGGATAACACACCTTGAAAAGTCCGTAACATTTGACAACACCCTCTTCACCTTCCAGCAAAGAGAGTAAAGAATACTCCGTATGCATAAGCATCTTCCCTTGACGATAATCCTGCGTTTCTTCTTCACCGGGATTTTTTAGGGAGAGAATCTGAGGGAAAGACAAAGACATGATTTCCCGCACGTCACTCGGTTTCATATTCAGCCATCGAATTCGAAGATTATGCGTCGTTAATTCCAACGCGAAATCGAACGAATAAAAACGAATCAGCAAGCTATAAAACGACATGCAACTAATCACAATTAAGATACTTTTTGTCATCAGGCTTAATAAATGAAGCGCCACACAGGACGGCCGATTCCAGAGAATTTACTCAATCGCAAGTGGAAAGAAATCCCTCCCCTTAGCGCTTCCGCCAACACATTTTTGGATTTTATTTCCGAAATACTCACTTTTAGGCAGAAGTATTCGTCTGTACCAGCTCGACGCGCGAGACGCTGAACTATCGAAGTCACCGGACTGTTGCCAACAGTGGGTCCAAGTAGAAACGGCCCAGCTCGACGAACGTCGCGAGGATTCACCCTTGTCCCCGCCGGGGGAACAGACACGTCGAGGAACGTAGTAATAAACTCATCTTTTTGATCAAATTTACACTTTTTCTCGCCAAACTTGGCTTGCTCAGACATTCGACTTCGTTTCATGGCTACAAATGATTATCGCGAACCTTCCTCATTTATGATCCATCGAAATGGGCGTCATGAGCTGCAAGAACACAATGAACGCACACAATGAAAGAAAAGCACAATCCATCAGCTCCTTGCGTCACGGATATGTTAATGCGCAGTCAGCTTTGCGCCATTCCTCGAAACCTTGTTTCGCGACTATGCTCCCGGCCTTTGTCCTAGAAAATATTGTCACTGACGCCATGGAAAACGAATGGCGTGCAGTGGCGAAAGAATTCTTATAATCTTCGCCTGAACTTCTCTGATTCGAACCAGGCGTTTCGCGGTGACACTGGAACACTGACGTTCTATCTGAAAATTGACATTCGCACGGTAACCTTCCTAGTGAGCGGGAAGTCCCCGCGCGGAGGACTAGAATGGTTCTGGACGTCCCGCGTTCAATACGAACACAAGCAGTCATTTGGACTTTTACATTAGACAGCACCACAACATCTCACATCAGCCTCCAACGTTCAACCAACGCATCCGTATCACGCAGATCACTCAATTGCGGCAAATTCTAAATTGGCGCATTATTCGCATAACGGAACTCAAAATTATTATCCACAAATTTCAAAACTAACTGCCATTCGTTGTAGGCAGGAATTCGATCCGCTCGCGTTTCAAACGCGAGTTGAAGGCTGATTGAAATTAACTGTAAAATGATGAGCAACCAGATCAACAGTTGACGAACCACAGATCACGTTCACAAATTGTTATTCGCATTCAAGAGAACGTGGCGCGATCGCGCGACTTTCAAGGGGAAAAGGATGCCCACACAAAGCTGCGTCGTGCGATGGCGCAATCGCGGCTTTGCGAACTAAGAGCTGGGTTATTACGCTTACGCACGGCAGACAGGGACCAGCGAAGACACACAGAAGTGGGCGGCGCTAGGATACAGCTGCCCAAAGCATGAATGGAATACCAACACAAGTCTCACATTACGGATCTCGCTCATTTCCAGTTCCTTGGCAGGACAGAAACGCATACATAAGCAATGAGATCGAACCTATACAATACTGTCTTCTACTCCGCGTTCTGGAAGACTCTAGAATCCGGGAAACTCTCAACAGAACGCTGAATTGAATAAATTAGTGCTCACGCATTTTCATTCAAAGTATACCGCATGCGATGAGACTTTCAAGAAATTCGTCTCCGAAATAAAGATGCACATGTAACATATCAGAAACCCGACGCTTAGTGTGCATAGGTCCCACCAAACTGAAACTCACCAGCATTCAGGCGCATGACGCATGCATCTTCTGTGACAAGGCAAAACACAGGGTTGACCAAACAAAAAAATGTATTCTTCCAATGGTTCTATAGGTACAATTTAGTATATTTTCAATAAAAGGAGATGTGTACAACATTGTGTATGGATGACTTAAATTGACTCGCGGGTACTGTATATAGTCAGCCATCACATAAACGTTGAATGAGAATTTTATTGCAAATTTCCAAATTAATAATTCGTAGCATTCAACCAAGTTCAGTCATTCGTGACACTGAAAAAAAAGACGTGATCCGCCGGCCGACTAGAACGTGATTCATCACGTGTCGATTCAGTCCTTCACCACCGTTGGAGGGTACACAGGTTTACACGTCAGCCGGCGGAGAACATCCCAATATTCCTTGGAACACTTCCCTGTGACAAGAATTAAATATACTTCCCAGGAACCGTGGTTTGTTCAAAAGTTTGACTAGAAATGAATGCAATCCTTCAAATGCTTCCCTTTGAAAGACATTTAAAGTATGCTCAATCATGCTGCAATAGATGTATAATATACATGATTACAAACATGATTTTCATTTTAAGTTATGCTACATCATGAGTGTATAACAAAACAAAGCCATTTTCGGATTATTTTTGTCATTCAGGAATGTTTATATGATCTGCATTGAAATTCCTTCGTTGGATTATTCAAAATTTAAACCCTGAATTAAAAACTTGATTTGCCCCAGGTAAAAATGGAGCAATGAAAAGTCACAAAAATGTATGTAATTTTGTAAGTTATGGACGCCATGTTGCATTTGATTACTGCTTAGAAAAAAAATTGTATTGCTTTTATACAGCATCATCAAATATTGCACATAATTATTGTGAGTTCACGGTTCGCTGAAATTCTTACATTTTTGGTCCATGCTGGGAGAGGTTTACATTTTTTTTACTTGTGCCATACTTTTTGAATGCAAGGATTTTCTTGATCTTCAACATTTACTACTGCTTCTTTCGAAAAAATTTCAAAATTTTCTGTTGACGACTTGTTTCATCAACATAAAAGTTGTTTGCTATGCCGGGACCCATCACTATTAAGCACAGTAAATTCTGGGGTACATTGACAGGCTGATAAGTTCTGTCAATAATCTGCTTGCCCTCTTGGATGAATAGAGATGAACCTATTTTTACCCAGATATATGAGGAGGTAACTCTTAATATTCAAAAATATTCAAGGGACAAGAAAAAAAATTTTGCAGTGAGCCCCCATAACATTGGGAGCAAGCCTGATGGAACCCAAACAATGTGCTATACAGTTCTATGCAGATACTGTACAATTGTTGAAGAGAGTCCACAACTGTATTGTATTTGGTCATAAACTGCCCACAGTTGAAATTTTTGAAGACCCTGGTTGTTGACTACTGTATTGGTCATGCACATTATGTCACTGTGAGGAAACATGCCATGCACATTTCATGAACTTGCATACAGTCTAAATGCTCCAAAATACAGTGAAGTATAATCTTATTATGAAATTCCTGTTTTTGACAAATTCTTTTCAAGGTCTTCAAGCCACAGTGTTGACCACTTTTTGACAGACTGAAGCTTTTTCTCTGGGCTCCAACAGCTTTGCTGCATTGAGATTTCACTAAACTGTATTACAGAAAAACAGTACTGTATCTTCTTCCAAGGTAAAATGATTATTTTTAAAAGGGAGGCTTGATAAATCCCCCTGATCCCTAGTGAAGTTGTACTAATGTGTGACTCACAGCCCTTTTTTGTAAAAATTTGATCACATGATACACAAGTACCTTACCTGAGTAATATTTGGGACAGGTTCCCTCCAATGTCAAGTCAAACAGGTGCTGCTCCAACAGTTACAGGACAAATTGGATAGCAACAAGTTGCCCACCAACAAGTTGCACCCTGAAAAAACTGGGATAGCAACAACTTGCACAGTTCATTAAAACTTCTTCACATATAATTGTTTTCATTTATTCCTTGCAAATTGTTCCTTGTCTGGAGGGAGTTTGAATGTATACTAATTCCTCAGAAGGACAGTTGAGGAGCCTTTCTCTTTAAATTCACATGAAGGTGGTGTCAAGGTATTCCCTTTCAAAATCTTTATTCTATCTAATTCTATAAATCCAAGGGCTCACACCTCCTCTGAATACCATTCAGAGGATATAAAGTACCACCTATTCAGAGGATGTAAAATACCAACATCACTTCATCAGTTATCCTCAGGGATATTCATCATTTTACTAACTTAGCTAGAGTATTTGTTTAGGTGGCATTGTTGCTTCAACACATGAACAAAGGCATTTCATTAGCCAAGAATGCGATTTATATAAAAATGCAGTTTCTAGCATTTAAACTCAAAACTTATCTCAGGGGGAGGGAGCGGTACAATACTGGCAAAACTTTTGGATCACCCTTCGCATTCCGCGCAAAATTATGACTAGTACTCAGAAGAATCCATTCATATTCAACGCAAAATTCATTTCCATCGTCGCTCACGCACGTATGGCGCCGGTAGAATTGGCTCAATTGCTCGCATTGCCAACGACGAGGGAATGCACAAAATAACACTGAAAATGACTCGCAATATCTGCGAAACCGCAATGGAACATTAACAACTTTTCCAAAGACGATTTCAGGTATTGATGCCTATGCAAAATGCTAAACATAAATCGCACGTCTGGAAACACGAAATCACTTCAATAAAGTTTCTTCACGGCGCAAATATACATCACAGCTTGACAATGGAGTCGCCGATGCGCTTTTTTTTCACGGAAAAAACTTGTTCTTCTTTCCCTGGAAATAGAATAGAAGAATGAAGGATTATAACTAGGATCTTTCCCAGTGTATAAAATGATGGACCAAACAAGAACGAGACATTTTTCAACAATATCCCCAGAAAGGTACTTTACTGAAACTCGAAGAAAAAGATTCACATTGTATTTCACTAAATTACTTTTCTTATGATATTTGAGTTTATGGTTCTCGCTGTATTGATATGCTTATCACGGCAATTAAAAACGGAAGAATGGAGGTTGGCGTGGGATTTCTCATCCTCGTGTTGATTCCAGCAGTTATCGGAATCTCAGAAGTTCAGATCCCGCTTTAAACCAATCTAAATTATACACAGACGTATTTTCCAACAAAAATGCCCATTCAGCAAATCAAACAATACCTTAGATTCAAGTTCATTACAGGTTGAAGAGGGTAAATCTCATACTTCAGGCATAAGTTTATGATTCGCTAACAGCCAAAACATTTTCCTCGCAAGAAATTTGATTTCAGGAATTCTCGGGATTTTCCAACAAGCTCTGTCTTGATAGCGAAATCTAAGGGAGCAATGGAAAAAAGGAAATTTCCACTTCCAGTTTTGCAAGCCTCATAAAAATACTGTACTACTCAATTGTCACTGAAATTTCACCGTAATCACCAATTTAATAGTCTAGAGAAAAAAATCTCTGAACTGCAGAACGAAAATTCGAACAACATTCATGCTTTTCAACGATAGTTTGCAATTTTTCTCTCCACTGCATATGAGGAGTTCTCTCGATGCTTAATTACCTGCGCTATTTCATCAAACGGAAATACAGTATCAATGTCTAAAAATGGGTGGAAATTCTCTTTTTGTTCGTGTGTGTTTCACCCTTTTGAGTGCAAAAGGCATTTCTCACTTTCGAGGATGACATTTCAGCTCTCAATTCTTCTATCTCATCGGTTTGACGAGTCAAACGGTCGTTGAGCTGCGCCAAATGCTCCGACATGAGGCTAAGCTGGTCCTCGTAGTTTTTCGAAGTCGTATCGAGTTCTTCCCGCAACTGAGCTTTATGCTCTCGATCCTCCTCAACCTTTTCCTCCAAGGTTTTTCGCTCTACTTCACACAGCAACAGCCGCTCCCGCAGAAAATTCATCTAGAATAATTAAAAACTCGTTTCATACACTCAACATTTGTAGCGACGAAAAAAGAAAACGCTGGAAAAAAAATGGTATTGATTTGGATTAATTCCTCCTCTTTCCAAATCCATGCAAGGGTAAAACGAAGCCAGCAACCATATTCAGTAAATTTCGCTACTACGAAGTCATTGCGACCAGTGAAACAGCTTCTTTGTAAATGCTTCCAAAACAGATAAGTGACGACTCGTGACCAATTCAAAGTTTTCAAACTAGTTGTGATGAAATTCTAAGCAAAAATTCAAAATGTATTCTCTCATCTTAAACCTGCCCATTTCCTGAAAATGTACTCATATCACGGAAATATGAACGGAAACAAAAGATACATGCGTACTTAGAGCACTTCTTTTTCATCAAGTGTACACTATTTTCTACGATACAGAGCCGTATTCTTTCAAAACATACAGTTTATTTGAACAAATTAACCATTCATAAGACATGAAAAAGTAAAGAAAGAGAATTCTGATGAAATCATCGTTCTTTGTACTTCCTGGATTATTAAATTTTCTGAATAAAAAGGTTAATTAAAACTATAATCGTTTCATTGTTTTTCAATGCTTCACAACTTCACAAGCTGGATTTTCCAATACAGTATTCGTGCAATTTATTTAAAATTCATACACAGGTGGACTCCCTCTAAAAAAAAATTCGAGGGACCAGAAAAAATACATTGTAGAGAACCTCTATATCTATAACGTGGGGAGAGAACCCTGTGAATGGGAACATGTTACGGGAACATAAAAATTAGTTGTACAGTTGTACATAAAAATCGTTCCAAAGAGAGTCCACCTGTATCCCATGAACACCCAATACAGGCAAAAAATACACTATACTAAGATTTCTGAAGAAAATTAATTCGTTAAAATTGAATTTTCAAAAGAAGGTTCCTATGAAGAAACCGCAGGGACTTGGAAAAATTCGTCACGATGAGATTCGTTGTAAGTTAATTTCACTGCATTAATTTCACTTTAATCAGGTCAAGCTGTAGACGGTCGATTAAAAACGGCGGCAATCAAATACGAAACTAACTTCGGATTCAAATGATGAACATTTGGAGTCCAACGTAAGATGCTGCGTGACGAACAGCTCCAATCGCTTTCTATAATAATCGAGGATTTCTTTTTCCCGAACTTCCGGTTCCACGTCGAAGAGGCGAACTTTCGTCTTGGCTTCAGCTTCGGCAGAATCCAAAGCCACAGCACCAGACTGGAGACACTTCAACTTTTCCAAGTCTCGGTTGTGTTTCTTCTCCAACAAGTGACACTCGAGGCGCCAGTGCTCCTTCATTTGCTCCACAGTCGCAACGCGCTTTTTCAGCTTTTCGATTTCTTCTGTCACAGCAGTATTGACCGCCTGTGCGGTTGCAGGCAATCTCTTGCCTTCAGCACACTCGGGTCCTTCGGACTTGACATCCTGAAAAATAGAACGCTCATTTAAATAAAATATCCAAGCAAATATATGACAAAATAAAAATTACTGAAAAAGGTAATATGCAGCGAAAAAATCTGCAATCCATGCACTGTGATACAGATTCGTGTCCTTCGTACATTTCAGAGTAGTACCTATTTTCCCGAGGGTAGATGTCACTGGCAGTAACAATATGATTTTAATAAGGGCATCGCTTTAGTAGAAATACATAACTGACTAGGTTCAAATATGAAGTGTCTTTGAGAATACCTAATTTTTTGGGTTTCCCGCTACAGGCAGTTCTCTTCAACCTTCTCGACAATGAATTCATGATTAAAATGGATTTGTGAGTAAATTTCACCCAGTATTTCAACTAAGAAGGAAGCTTGGATAGAGGACTGGATTCTGACACAACCGTTAATAACGTGGGATCATTCGATAATTGAGGGGAATAATTGGTTACCGATTTAATCAACATAATAAATCTAGGGAATAAACCATGCGAGATTGACGAAAACGTCATCTTGTATCTAACCTTTCATTTAAAATGAAGACATTGGAATAAGGAAGCGTTGAAAAACCCCGCTTTCGATAAAATTGCGGGTTACTCCAGGACTCAAGTTCTGCTTCTTGATACTCAAAAATCGAAAAATGAACAGGAATTCGATTTCAAGTCGATCACAACAAAAAATACCTCAACAATTTTAAGTACAGTGTAAGCTCTACAGAATTTTCCCACGTTTTTTTTGTGAAAAAAAAAATAGCGCAAAAGACTAAAAAATTTCGTGGTTTAGATTTAAAATAAAAATTCGCCAACAACACGAATGAACAGCGCGAGAAAACGATCCTTAAATAAATGAAATCTTACAATCGCAATTGACGTCAAGTATTTCACAGTCTTCTGTCTCAGTTGGTCCACTTCTGGATGCGGTGTCAATGAGAGGAAATCCAATATTTTCTTATCTGATCGCACAACGCTAAGCGTATCTTGCAGACTAATCGAAAGCTAAAAACGAAATCAACAAAAAATATATCTTTAAAAAAATGGAAGTTCAAATAAAAAATCGCAAATACCTTGTGAATATGTGTCATGAGCGAAACGAGAGCTTTCAGAACCATTTCATTCGTCGCATCCAGGTCTTCACTGTTCCCTGATTCAGCCGAGACCATTTCGTCGAAACACCGGCTCATATCTTGATTAAAATGGCATACGTTGCATATCCAATGATTGTAAAACCAGAAAGATTTGCTTCAAACTCATGGAAATCAAAATTGAGCGCCGGTATCGCGTAACTTAATACGAGGACAAAATAGATGTTGGCAATCCCGAAAATCTTTTTAAAAATGCCCAGGAAGCTTACATTTCCAAGATTTTGGTACGAAACAATTTTACGAAGCTGAATAGCGGAAAAATTTCTCAAATGAGTACTGAATTTAGACGTTTTTAATTCCATTGGGGGTTAAAAAATCAATATTCACCTTTAGCAGCCGTCGACAGATCAATCGCATTCAGATGAAAACGTTCCAATGTTTCCAAGTTAAGGTAACCTGTAAAAGAATACCGAAGAAGTACTTCATAAAAAAAAAATAGCACGATAGATTGATTCTTTTGTATGCAGATGGATAAGGATGAAAAATTCAATGGAAGATTTGAAAAGAAACAGAGCGGATGCACAAACCATTATCACCAATCTTCGTTTCCTGAGAAAAAGTCTTGGACAACGCGGAGCATAGTTTCTTGAAGGAAGACAAAAACATGCAATTTGCGGTTTTCCCATCGTGAAAAACGGTGTCTCGGGAATCCATGAATCGACAAAGGACTGGAAGTAACAAAGCTTGTCGATGGTCCAGATCTTTCAACGTGGACAGACTCGAAACAGCGGAAGGAAGGAGCCACAATGTGAAACCACTACTTTTTTTGCAGTCGTCGCTCCACGTTTGACAATCGCCGTGCAGACGTTTTGCTTTCAGGGCGCACTGATTCAGCAGCATTGAAAACTAAAGGAAAGACCCCAAATAAAATCATCAACGGAGAGCAGAGCTGGGAAACGTTTTTAGAAGCGGAAGAAAATAATCAGAACAGATGTCACACTCATGGACTTCGAGACACATAAACGAATCGGAACAAAGCAGTCCGCGTCGAATAAACGTGTGGGATGATCTCGAGTTTTGAGACAGATTAACACAGATAAAACACTACTCAATCATAACACCTCCTCATTCAGAACTCGCGTTTGAAAAAAAAACTCAACACAAATCGGAATTTTGCGAGTAAATCAGTATGATGCAAAAGTTCACCAAGACTGTCCTCACCTCGGCCGATCCCAGCGACGCAGAACACTGCGATCTTCGCTCGAACTGGGTGTAGAACTCAGACAGTGCCAAGGCCGCATTCTGACAGTTCGTCAAAATTGCCTCCATGAAATTTTTGCACCATCGCACCAACTTCTGATCATGCGCCGGAACATTTAAAGAATTCTTTTCTCTGCTTTCCACGTCCAGAAATGGAAGCTTATCAGCAAGAATCCTGTCCAATAACTCATTCTTCGTCTCAAAATCTGCCGTCAAATTCGCCAATAGGGATTCCACACGGCGAGTTTCAAGTTTAGAGGCAGTCAATTCTTGTCCCTGATTGTGGAGACGCAGTTCCAATCTGATTTTGTCTTCTCTCATTTTAGTTAGCTCTTTCTGAAAGAAAACCCGAAGTGGTGTACGTGAAGTATGTACTGTATTCGAATTCTCAGACACAATCTTCTGATTGAAATATAGGTTAGTTCTCAGCCTTACACTCTGTGCATCTTCTAAAACACCGGACACGTGATTTCTGCTGCCAATCTGTGACTGAAGCTGGGCCACACAAGATCGCAATTCATTCAATTCGGCTTCATGTTCCGATTCTAATCCAGCCAACTTTATGCAGCACGGAGGAAGCGGGAAATAAAACAAAAAAAAATGATCACGAGGTTAGATGTCATAATAAATGCAAAGCGAAAGTCGAAGTGCGAACAAACCTTGGTATGTAATAATGCGTTCTCTTCTATTTTGCTAGCAAGTTCCTCATTCAAAACAAGGTTCATTTCCTTCACGCCATCGTGACTTTTATTGGTCCTGAAACCTTTCTTTTTCGTCTGAAATTTCGTGAAGTGGAAACTTAGTTCAATCAGGAATAATTCGTAAGAGTTCCCGATGAAATAAAACTTCACCTCTTTCTCAATAATTTCCTCTTGAAGTAACTCCACCCGTTTGGTGAGTTGCTGATTATGAAAAACAAGGCCATCGATTTCCAGCTGATATTTCCTTAGAGCGCGATCCTTTTCATTCAGTTCGATCTGCATATAAGAATTCGATCAATAATTCTTCAGCGGAATCTCAAGAAAATATTTTGTATAATCCATTCGAGACGTCAGGTCATCCGACAATCACAGAAACAAATATTTCAAGTTTTTACCCTCAGTTGTGAAGAGACCGCTTGCTCATCAATCACAGCTTTCTTGAGCACCGTCACCTGAGCACAGGCCTGAAAATGAGAAATGTCAGAATTTGTATACAGTAAGTTGATGTATTTCTGGCCTTATTCGCGACGCACTGTTCAGGAATCATTTCACATACCTTGGAAAATTCCGAAGCCAACCGCTGGTGTTTGGAAGCATGATCGGGGCTCACGCTCAAACTGGATGGTCCCGAAGCCATTCAAAGTGGTCTACCTTTAGATCACTCCAATAAAACGCATGATGCACTAATCCCCTCAGCTGCACCAATTATGTTTCAAGGAGTAATTCCTGATCACTGCATTCCACTCGCGCTTCTCAACCCCCGGTGACCAGTCAAGAACTTCCCGATCCCCATGCACATGCGACATCTGTAATCATCAAGATGAACCAACATATGCATTGTTGAAGGAACACACATGCATCTATTACAAACATACAGTTGTACAAGCGTACAGTACAATATAGGACTACAGGTGGATTTCCATCATACCCTGTGATGCATAAAAGAATATAATTTTTCTACTTCCAATTTACAAATTTTATCAAGCCTATATGTGGCATATAAAATGAGTCTCCATGGCTGATCGTATTTTTGATTATTGTTCTTCTCTCGCATACTGTAAGACATTTATTTTAAAAGTACAGTATGTTGAAAGCCCAGTCATTTCTGATGCTTCATCCATTATTATAATCGCATGTCATAGAATTAATCATATCAGTGTTTATAAGGGGGACATAACGTACAGGAAGAGCAGATTTTGTCTCCACTACTTTTCCCAGAGGAATTGGTATCATTCTGATTCAGGAGAACAAAACATGCATGTACATAAGAATCGTACAAAATGAATTGCATTCCTAGTCAGTCTCAACTGAATTAGGCACTTTTTCAGTAATGTTTTTAGAAATTTAATAGAGAAACTCGATCTAACCCAAAAGGTAATGCAGTAAAATGTTGTAGAAAAAAAAATGCTGTTCTGAACATGAAAAAAGCTTTGTTATACAGTAATGATAAATTTGTTATAAAGCATACAGGAATATCATTCCTATGAGATACCTGAAAGACGATTCAATTGTAAGTTATAATTTGTTACATGTGGACTCTCTCTACAACAAAATTCGAAGCACCAGAAAAAAGTTTTGTGTGTAAAGAACCCCTTCAGCATGTGGAGAGAACCCCATGGGACACAACAAAATGCGTTGAACAGTACAGAGAAAATTACGGTGGACTAAATGGTTGTGGAGTACACCTGTATAACACAATTCTACTGTACCTTACATGAATAAATGAAAACAATCATTGAATTACAAAATTGCTTTGAAATATGAAATTACTCCAGTCTAGGTGGTTATGCAGCTCAGCAGTAAGGCAAAAATTCAGATCATTCCTTCATTTCCAAATCATGCAATACTGTACTGTATACGCAAAATTATTTTTGCTCCAGCTAAAAGTAGGTAATGATTTTTTGTTGGAAGATAAATTCGTGATGCACATGAATTTCGCTGCGATAGAAAACTGAAAATTTAGCCTATAGTAAATAAAATAAGAGTTCCACAATGAAAAATCGACAAGAGTCAAGACCAATACAATTTCAAAATGCAGTAATTTTAATCGCAGTAAGATAAGCATCAAATTGCGGAGTCGGTCAGTATTCCAATTTCCAACCAACCTCAACCGATTGCCATGGAACGGAAGATAGCTTGGTTGATATTGAAAGGTTTTATTTTTGCCAAGAAATCCCAGAATTCAACAAAAAACCGTGCGTCTTAAAATTCAGGGCTCACTCTAAATATAATTTCAACAGAACACGACTTTGAGAATTCACTGGATACTGACTTAAGTTTAGAGATCAGCACAAAACCATAATGAACTCTGAAATAGACCAGCGAGAACAAAAAGCTCGGCTAAATGATCAATTCATCAGATTTATATTCCGGGTTCTTTCACCAACGCTATGCTGATAAGTGATCCTGGAGCTGTCGGCAGCACATAAGCTCCAAAAATTATCTGACGAACGAAAATTCGGAACCATAAGTAATTGACGCTCCTTATTCATTTTGAAATGAAAAATAAATTGTGATGAGAAAACCGTACGCGGACACCAGACACAAAAACGGAATTCTCGAATCAAAAAAGAAAAAGAGGATACCGCAATTTTCACGAAACTTTCACGCGACCGAAATACAAAATCGTGAAACGGCTTTCACACTTAATAATCATCGAGAAGCAACGTGTATGCCGATGAAGCGAACATCTCACGTTGGAGAAAGTTACGAAGGAGGAAACAAATCCCGTGTCTGCCATTTCCGATTGAGGAACATTCCCCAGTCTCTAACAGGAACACCCGCGGCTTCCAAGTAAAGGCATTTCGAGGCCTTGTAGATAGAATACGCGTTCACCTCAACTCTGTTCACCATAAGATCGTTGAGGGTTTGAACTTCGTGAATACGACGGCTAATTCCAGACAAGGCCTTGCCGATTTCCGATGACTTCTTCCCCACCTCTTGCGTATGTTTCAGCAGCTCTGCTACGGCCATAGCTTGAATGGACACAAGACTCTCCATTTGTAGAGACAGAGACTCAAATGCTTTCAGATCAGGCGATCGTTCAGCCCATGCCTATAAAGAAAAACCCAATGCGCCTCATTGATACTGTAGTTTGACTAGGCAGCCTAACATCAACGCACGACAGGCTATCAATAAGTTATTTTTTGGAAAAATACAATTTTTGTCAAAGGTTTCAGCATCGAAATATTTACCTCGAAAGCCAAGAGATCTTGTAACTGCGGAGGCGGATTCCCGAATTCCAAATGTGGGTTGGGCTTTGCTCCATGCGGAGAAAGCTTAACGTCAGAGTCCTTCGGCATTCGCGTAACTTGTAGAGGGTCTTCATCGAGGAGGACAGACTTTGGAGCTTTATCTGGATTGGGACCACGCATCATTGACAGTGGTAGACCAGTTCCATCATTGCGACGAATCCATTCGGAGGCGATGTTGAAATCGTAGAACTGTTGAGTTGGAAGCACGTTTGAACTTCCATCAGGCGATAAAAACATTCCCGAAGATAAGGAAAAACGAAGGAAGTAACGTTGACCATTCGCTTCACTCGATCCAATTTCAGTTTCGTTCAAAAAATCTCCCTTCCTGAGGTTTTGGCAGAAGATTCAGTCTCTTCAATGTAAAAAAGGCAATGAGCTCCCGAAACCAAGTGACACTTGATACGAAATATGAGCACGTGAAATAATTAGTTAGAGCCTCACATGTCTTTTCTCTTGCCTGTCATTAACTGGATATCGTTAAAGTATGTACGGTAATCTGAACACATGAAGTCCTAAGACGATTAGTAAGGTTTCGACCTAAAGCGACATAAACCAAACCTTCCGTTCCGTCATCTCGTATACGTACCACGTCTAAAGCAACAGACTGTTGACGATTGACCCACACGGATTTTGTTCCTTTGATTCCTGCCTTGTGGCACCGTGTAAGAAGGCCTTCGGTGCAAGCCCAATTCCACCATTTCCTTCGTGCCCCGGGCGGCATAAATAGGCTATCAGGTTCATCTGTTTTGGCATCTTCTAGCGGCTCAGAATCCCGCGACTTTTTAACCTCATTCGCATCCCCGTCCGTTTTATCATCGTCAGGTGTCGACCTTTTCAAGGGATTGCTCGTCGATTGTTTCGAACTTTCCGGAGAATTAGGGGACGAACTGTCGCACACCTCTTGCTTCAATTTGTCGGCAAGCGTCGTCAGAGTTGAAATAAGTTGTCTCGCTTCAGCAGGCATTGCGGTACGCAACTGATTTGAAACATTATTCAGGAAGGCCTCGTTTTCACTAGAGTCTGGTTTCGCTGCCTCCATTTGTCGCACGAACAACTACTGTATCTGCAAAATTTGGATACAATAAAATCCGATCCAATCCCGCACTCTTCACTTTCACATGTTCATGTTAGATTTATTATTTGTAAGCCATCACATCGGCATCAAACGTTTATTGTACAAGTGCCCGTTTCGGAGAGAAGTTTATTCACTGAAGACCAACCCACCACACGGCATTCAGGATCACATCCTTCGTTCGTGCCGAACAGGCGTTCACTGGTTCAAATTTGGATTAAAGCATGTCAATTCCGGATATGATTACGAGGTGAGAATTAAAACCGGGAAGGTTTTATGGGACAAGAAACTTGATGGATCCACTCAACCCTCTCTTTCGAACATGGACCTAAGATCCACAGAACCTATACATAATCCATTTCCATAATTCACTTCATAATAGGGGACCACTGTGCCCCAGTCAGGCCCACGCGGTGAGGCCCCATCTCGCCAGAGCAGAACACTTGGTTGACAAACCTCTTCGCCACTGTGTTCCCATTCCCTCACATTCTGCACCCAACACTCTCTCTCCTGTAGTTGCGCATGAGTGACTTCAAGAATCAGGAATAAATCCCTTATGCAGGAAGTGGTGTAGCATGTGACTCCATATGAGAAAAAATGATTTCTCCATATATTGTACTGTATTTGTAAAATGATATGATGGGATGTTCCATGGGTCTTTTAGATCTCAGGCATATTTTTGTTAATGTGGCTTGACAATAAGTGCATTTGACAAGTTGTATTCAATTGTGGGTTTAACAAGTGCCTCTTCTGAGGCCTGATTGACATCAGTTTCATTGAACTTGGGCATTTTATTACTTCAAACCAGGAATTAGCTTCAAAAGGTTCCAACAATTTGGTTTCATGGGTTTAGAACAACCAAGATTGTTTAGCAATAACAGTACAGTCAACCCCCGTCTAATGGACTTGATTTGTGCAAGGGGCGAGTCTGTTAGACAAAAAGTCCTTTACACGAATTCAATTACATAAAAAAATAAAAATTTCAATTTTCAACACTAATTTCAAACCAAAAGAAGTCTGTTTGGCGGATTTTGTCTGTTGGGCGGGAGGAAAAACTGCTTGCAAAGCTGGTCTGTTCGGCGAAAATCTTGTACACGGGAGGTCTGTTAGGCGGGGGGCCACTGTATTGTATAGGTCTTGATGACAATTTTTTATTGAGCAAACAAGATAATTTCTTGGACACTGCCTGCATTATTCAGATACAACAATATAAGTTTAATCAGGGAAAGGCTTCAACAAAAATACAATAATTGACCAGTTCAGGAAGACAGGAGTTTTTGACACAAGGATCAAATTCTGCTGCAAAAACTTTTGTTGCAGTACTGTATATTTATGTCAATGCATGAAATATACATTCATAATTTTTGTGTCATGAAGAATGTATACATTCAGGGTTTTTATAAAGAATTTTTCAAGCTTTCCATGGTGGTGAGTTCTTATTACATACATTCTACCAGTTTGACATAAGACTCCCCTTCCTGTACTAGAGATCATACTCTAAAAGAGTTTGCTTTCTACAAGAACAGGACACTTTCTGGATCATTATGAGACTACTTCTTAACGAAAAAGATACCAGCAGCAGTTTTAAAAGACAAGATATTTGTTTTCATTGGAATGAGATTTTGACAAGAAGCCAATTCAAGCTATGGTAGAATTTTTGACACATGCAATGCCATTTTCATAAGCATAGTCATCTACTATATATGTGGTGCCTTGCCTAGCAAATGAACTGGCAAATAAACAACCTGCCTAACTAACACCAGAGAAATAAATAAATGACTTTCCTAGCAAACACTGGCCTGCCTTGAAAATTTTTGCTGACCTGCCCTTAACCCTTGGGCGACAAAGTCGGACTATTTTTGCAAAATTTCATTACACCTCAGGGCAGAAAATAAAAAAAGGGCAACAGGGATTTGAGGTTGAAGTTGGGGAAAAATCCGATGTTTTTTTTTCTTTTTGCACAGAAAAATTTTGTGGGAAAATGAAAAAATCCTATGCTAAGCAATGGGCTTTTCCTGGATTAATCTGGACTTTGCCTCAGCCCACCTGGAAGGTCTTTTCTGACCTTCAGAAAACTGAAAACCCCACAGCATACAAAAATAATCTGATTTTGGCCAGCAATGGGAAAGAACCCTCCGCCATCCAAGGGTTAAAAAAATATATATATATAAAAAATGTGGTTGTATCTTCCCCTCAGCAAAAATAGTTGTTTCTCAAGCATTTTTGTTGAGGAAAAGTGAGAGGAATGGAAGGCAATTGTAATTGGTGATATTCAAGGCCTAAAATTGCTTTCTAAATGAGTTGACAGGATGCAGAACTTGGAGGCAAAGCTTCATTTGCCTAATAGATCCTGCACTTCCTTTCAAAACTTAGTAAAAGTTCATTTTTATGGCTTTCATATGACATTGTAAAATTTTTACATCTTCCATATTTCCTGTGATGATAGAATAAAAGGACTCCAAAATCCAATGTATGGAGGTTTGAGGGGAAAGTCTGAGACTCAAGGAGGTTTTACTACATGTTGTTTCTGATGTAATTCAGACATATACAGACTTGAAAATATTTTGACTTCAGGAAGTTCCAAGTGCTGGTTATTCCTATATAGTTCCATTTCAGCTTGCAAGAGGTCTAACCAGCAGTGCTTGTACCTCATCCAAAAGTGACATCTATCCTAAGTCATAACAAAGGATTGACTCCTACTTTGCTCATAGATGTTTCATATGCATGAAGTACAAGTAGTACACAGTTTCTATATGTCATTCAGAATGGAGAGCATCTAGCTGATTTAAATAGGAAGATCTTTAAAAGAAACTTCAGGTGTTTTAAAGTATTTTTCCTTGGGTTTCTTAAAATTCAGGAAATTTTGATCATTTTAGCAGTAGATCTCATTTATACAGGAATCAATTAGTGGATTTCACATTTGGCCTCAAGGGAAAACATTACTTGCCCTACAAATAATGTTCCACCAAGCAAATGCAGTCATGGAACTGCATGCTTGTGCTTGCTAGGCCAGTCACCAATGTATAGATTTTTTGATTGTGCAATACTAGCAAATAATCCAGGTGTATGCAAGTATTATAAGCAGGCATGAGAGTACACCTGTTTTCAAACAATAACATATGCAGTTTGCCTGTTACAAATTTTTATTTGTGTCAGGTTTCCTCAGATTTATTCTTAAATTATAAATGCTCCAGTTGGCTGATTTTTTTTTTTCAATTCACAGGGGCCTATTATTCGCTGGGTGAACCCATAATGCTGCAGCATCATTACCACCTGCTTTAATCTGGCCCAGCCTCAAGGTACTTCTATGATGTGGATGTACTTGTTAAAATCAAATTGTCAAACAATCCTCATAACCAGTCAAGTTGAGCTCCATCTGTATCAACATTTCAAACCACAGTTCAGGAAGGTTTGCACTTAAAAAATCTGATCAGTGCAGAAGCTAGAGGTTGAAACTTTGTAACACTTGAATGACAAAAAAGTGGACTCCTTTCTACTGTGAAGAAGTTGTCCTGTGACACCCTTCATTCCAGTGTAAAAATCCTTACAAGACCTGGTGTCACAATGGTCCTGTGACACCACCCGGCGCACTGTAAACTCAAGTCCCTCACTAGCGTGTGTAAAGGAGAGAGTGATGACTGATGAGGATAGGGAGTGAGGGGATGGTGGGTGCAGTGGCCTAGCGTTTGGCTGACCAAGAGTTCTGCTCCGGCGAGAAACTACCCTAGTTCCAGCCATACAGTAGTACGATCAATGGTGTTTAATGGAAGAACCGCTAGGTGTTGCAGCTTCAGATTTGGAAGGGACTGGGAACTTCGAATTAATGCGTTGGTGTTGTTCTGGATAACAGCAACAATCTAGTAGCAATTAAGCAATACCATAATGAACACAAGTAAGTAATTTTTTTTAAACAGGGAATTCAATTTTTTTACTCGTGAGAACAGTGTGGCCTTTATTTGACCAATATTATTTATATAATCCTGTAGTATTTTTGACCATCTCCTATAAACGCTGATAAACGCCACATTCTTCCCGTTATTTCATCAATTAACTTTTGTCGATTGAACAAAAGGGACTGCTGCAATAGTTTTTAAAATATTCATAATAACAAGACAAAAGAGAAAAAACTGCTGGAAGTATGATAAGGTATAAAGCAAACATGTAATACATCCGCATTAATTTGAGCTATATATGAGTAAGAATTTATTTATACCCTCAAACTTGATCAGCCCTTATCTGAACATAGTTGTTGATTTCTTGATGTTACTACAATGAGACATGAGGAAGAATACATGCCCCAGTTCACAGTCCTCCCCAGTTACCCATTTTCGGGTTACGGACCACCGGCTCTGCTTTTGGCAGAGCGCTCTGGCTTACCAACTGTAACTGGTTTACAGACTTTGGTATGTTTTTGTTACTTTAAAAATTTGTCAAAAATTCAATTTACAACCAATTTTCAAGTTTTTTACAGTGTTTCATGTGCAAAGATATTTTCTAAATTTAATTTTTATAAACATACAAAAAGCTGAACATTTGACAGAATTATAACCAAAAATGTAAAACCATTTTTGAAAATTGTTAAACATTCTCCAAAAAATGATTTTATTTTTTAATTTTAGCTGTTTCAATTTGCAACATTTATCAATGAAAAAAGAGTAAACTTGTGAAACATCACTGTGCATGACACCCTGTAAAAAGTTTTCACATTTCATAAAAAAAACACAAATTAGAATGAGCTAAACTGAAAAGTTTGAATTCTTGTTTCCATTTTTCTTCCTAAGTTTTCATCTTTTAAAATTTGCCAAAAAGGTAATTATGCACTGAAATGCAAATTTTTAACAGCATTAGAAGCACCATGAAGTTCTCTACTCTTCCCATTTTTAAAACCTTTTAAATACTGTAATTCAAATTGACAGAAGTACAAATGAGAATGTAAATCCTTTTCAAAATGAATTCTTCCAAAATTCAAGTTTTTTCATCTGAAAATGTATGTAAAATTTCCTTCTTTGCCAA